TGTGTACCTGTGTGTGTGTGTACCTGTGTGTGTGTGTGTGTGTGTGTGTGTGTGTGTGTGTGTGTGTGTGTGTGTGTACCTGTGTGTTTGCGCGCGCGCGCGTGCGTTAAATTTCATAATCACACCGCCCATGATATCAAATCAATGATCTGGCTGATGCGGGTTGCCCACTACAGCTGGATCATGCCTGCCGATCGCCCGACTAGGTCGTCCGAAACTGAAGCGACCGAGTCGGGCGATCGTGCCGTATAATAAGACAACACCACATTAATTCTTTCGACCACGGGTTGCCGTCTTGGACAATTTCTACTAGATTCTATAAATTAAATAATATTTCCCAGTCCATAGACTGCACCGCCAGCTCGCTCTACACGTGGCCAAAGATATGGAGCAGCCGTGCGACTGTGATGAGTTCTACAGCCGTGTGCGGAGAGAGGTACAAGAGCCGAGAACACCGGCCAAGAAGGTAAAGCAGCGAGTCTTCCGCCTGAAGATGCTGGCTAGAAAATCGGTTTGTTCTTGTCTGTGCGTCTGAATTAAAAACATATTGTTACAGCGTGGAACTGACGTCCGTTTGCCTTATTTATTTGGGTTGTGTGGTGTGGTGTGGGAGGGGGAGGGGGGATGTTGTTGGTTTGGATTTTTGGGGTTTTTTTGGGTAGTTGTTTTTTTGTTTTTTAGTTTTAGTAGTAAGTGTTTTCCGGCACTTGCAACACAATAAGGTCATATAAGTGCCGAAGACTAGAGGTATTACAAGAGAGTAACAAACACAAAAAAGAAGGAGGGTTGGTAAAGACGATAGTGATAGATGTTTGATCGGAAAGAAGAAGCAAACCACACAAGAGCACCCGCCAAACAGCCACGTTTATTTCGTTGGAGGGGGGTGTATTAGTATTACAAAATGTATAAGGAAACCACATCAACACAACACGGTCACATGCAGAAGAAAAGTAAGACAACTAACAACAGAAACAAAGGATGTAAAGAATAGAAGAAATACATTTATAATAGTGTAAGTGGTGCCCTCCAACCACCCACTTGCTTGGGTGGAAGAAGTTTCCTTAACACAATGAAAGCAAACAGGAAATATCCAGACGCAGAAGGCTTCATATCTTACCCAGGGATCATAACCCAGATCCATCCCATGACATGTAATGAAGACAGCTAAACACACTGTGCGATTTAAGCGTATACATTTAAAACTTTTACAGATTTTGCTTAAAATTGATAATTTATAAAAAGCATTTGAAAGGTGCATATCCCTGTTCAACAGCAAGCCCCATGCACTTTACAATCTATATTATTACCCAAGGACACTTTAAAAACATTCTCAGCTGAAAAGATCTTTCTCTGTCTATAGCCGGGCATCCATTCCCACCTGGGTGAAGTGAGGAAAATTCGGGTGGTAGTGCCTTGTTCAAGGACACAGCGTTGGGCCCCTGACTTGGTTCGAACCCATGACCTTTTGGTTGCAAGCCCAACAGCCTGACCACTAGACCACCAATGCCACACTTGATCAAGTAAACATTAGACTTTTGTTCTAATGCATATCTCCGAGAGGGAAGAGATTTAGAACTATAAAAAACTCACTTGACCGAAGGACTCATCCCTTCCTCCTCCCAACCCATGTATGCTCGGCGTAAAGAGAAATGAAGTTTTTTAAAATAATATTCACACAGAAGGAAATTTTTTGTTAAATTGAAAGTGAACGTTCAGGAGCTGCTACTGATTGCTCAATCATTTTACATGTCTGAATTTCTGTTCTTCTACTTCTACTTATTCTGAACGAAAACTGTGTCCCTGTTAACCTTGTCAATACACTGTTCATTATAATCCAAATTGTGTTGACAGGTATGTAAAAACAACAAAATCTTCCCCCCCCTTTAAAAAAATAATTCTAAAAATCATATAGACAGAGCAGTCACATAAGCCGACTTTAAAATATACATGTATATATATTATAATGACTTGTTAATGAAAAGGTAAGTAAATAAAACAATTCTCTGTGCTTTGAGTTGCATATATTTTATTCTCAATACAGCAATGCACCATCATCACAATGCCTCCATTAACAATGACATAATAACACAGGAATGTCTTGACAGTAACAGACAGGGTCACCTGGTACTAAACAGTCTTGGATGTCAAACTAACAGTAACACCACTCACTCATTAACATCTTTATATAAGAATGGTATCCTTAACAAACTAGCCAACAGACCACATCTGCAACAGTAACACAAAGACAAGAATTTAAGTTAGGGAGGTGATTGTCTAGCTGTCACATAAATCAAGAACAATCTAAGATACTATCACATAAATGAAGTGAACGTAGATCACACAGTGACATCTATTTCTTAGCACTTGCATTATCAGGCGGTATTTAAGTGCCTTTGAGAACTGATTCAACATAATTTTTTATAGTTTTCTAAACCCAAGACAAATTTTCAAAATATTGTTTGTAAATCAGGAAAAACTGTATAATCTGAAAGGCGCGGACAAAATGGAGGAAGTATTGAATGCATTTTTTCTGCTGCGATTTCAAGTTGACGTAAACAGAAATCTCAGACAGTTATATAAATAAACTAAAACATATACAAGGAGGAAAAAAACGGTAAATGGACGGAAAAATGATCATGACCGTGAACTGTACATGTAATAATTTAAAATTAATCTACCAAAACTGACAGATTAACAGACCGAGCACAAAAACAGTCAAACTGTACTCCAACACTGTACCGGCACTGCCACATCACGCACTGTACGATCACCAAAGCTACTGAAATTTGTCTTAACACGACACAACCAACAGAGACTGTGAGTCCTTCACAACTGTCTGTAAGCATCAAAATCATTTTTTAACCAAAAGAAAAATATTCCACTTTGGAAAACTTTCACATACTTTAGACAATCAAAGTGCAATGCTGTCACAAGTTTTTATATACTACAAGAAAGGCAATATTGTGTATAAATTTTCTCTACCACTACCATACGTAAAATCATTAACAGGTATATTTCTTTCGCAAGTCCCTTGCATTCGGGTACATTTAAAAATACTTGTGAACAAATACACAAATAGTTTGAAAGAAGTTATCACTGCTTTTAAAGACAGGCGAGAAGGTACAGACTCACATGAACAGGGGAGAGAGTGAGAAGAGAGAAATGTGAATAAAAGGTAAGTGAGAATGAGAGAATATGAAGGGCCTTTAAATATGGAGTTCAATTTCAAATTACAGTTACAGTAAATTAAAGGTGTATCACATATTCTTAAGTCTCGTGTCAATTTAAGCTCATAAACAAGGCTTGGAAAAGGAAATCTACTTACCATCTTAGGATGAATAACAAAACCAGACAAGTGCAGATACACTGTAATTCACTTCGGAATCTATATACATATATACATAAGACCTGTGTAATACAATGATCATGGTAAAAAATGTCTGGCCTTGACCTGAAACTAAACGGTTGAGTTCAATAAAAATATAATGACACTTGCAAATTGACTCTAGAGCCGATCCCCTTGAGGGAACTCTACTGCAGTGGCAATTTTAAAAATCTCAGTATAAGTATTTCCCTCATAAAACTGCATTGGTTTGCCCAAAAGGTTGAAAGATTTGAACAAACTTGTAAAATTAAATATTCAATTGTGATTTACATATGAAAGTCTGTAAGTGATCCCTTTTCCTACAATTTCAATGATGGACAAAAGTCACACCATACACAAAAAACAGGGTTTTGTTGAGTTTATCAGACTTTAACAGAAAATGGCAAGCCATGAAGGAGTCAGCAGAAGGGATGAAGCATAAATAAGAGAAAAGGCATTCCCTTCCACTTTGCTACAGATCTCACAAGTTCAGTTCTTTTCTCAGTCTTCTAAGCAACAGTTAAAGAAGAATGAAAGGAACAGCAACCAATCTTTTCCTTGTCGAATCTTGCAAAAAGTGTACAATTAGGTGCCCATTTAAAGGAACAACACTAGCCTTTTGACACCTTCTTACACCCATAAGTAGGTGATAGGTGTGTGCCAATGATAGGTCCAATTTCTCTATTATACTTCTTGTGTTTCTGTTTGTCTATCTTTCTTTTTCCTAGCATTAATAAAATTAATCATACCAATGTCCTTTTCTTCACTCAAACAAAACCTATCAACTCATCATTGTAGAGAGGAAATAGCCATCCCAGTACCATCACTATCTAATCAAGTTTTCTCCGAAGTTCCTTCCCAATTTCTAAAATCATACCAAGATATTTGAATATGTGCCATACATAATCTAGCTCCCCTTGTGGCCAATGGCATCTCTGATCTGTCTCTCCAACTCCATGATGATCTTGTCTTGAGTGGTGTAGACTCCAGTCCTTAGAAGAGTATCACGTTCTTCCACCAACCGAGACACGTGTTCATCCACAGACGCATCAAGGTCCATGTTTAGAGGCTTTCCATTAGAATCTTTCACAATAGGGAGCTGATTCGAGTCTGATGTGTTGCGAAGACGTTCTTCTTCCATCTGTTTCAACCTGAAATAAAAAGGAAATGTTTCAGCTCCTTCTCTGTTATCATTTCAAAATAACAAATTAAAAAGTAAAATGACAGACACCTTTCAAATGATACTACTGCTATCAAAACAAGTGATATATATTTTTTTAAAATTTGTCTAGATTCCTTATTCGAACATCAATAAATGAGTCTTCACCGAATTGGCTGTGCAATGAGACACTCTAAACAACCTGCCAACTACATCCTGCCGGTGGTTGGCGAACCACACCTTTAAGTCCAATTTCTTTTCTTCCCTCTGTTGTTTCTTTTAGTTTTTCTTGTCTTTTCCTTGCTATAAATGCCCATTACTGCATTGATGAATTTCTTTTTCCTCAAAACAAACAAACAAACCACACCCTCTACCAAAATCCAGTGGGTCTTAGAAAAAGATGGCCAAAGAAACCATGGACCAACACAAGGTGTGCCTTGATCCTCTTCTGACCCACAAGATGTGCACTCCTAGAAATTCTTTCTGATGGCTGAGAAGTATGAAACACAGTACACGTTTGCAAAGTAATTTTTTAAAAATTGTAAATCTTATTGTAAATATTTCACACCCTGACTGACACAATTCAAATCAATTAGGAAGTGGGCTACTTTGACCTTGTCTGTCAGGACCAACCTCCCTTCAATGAGACACAACATCCCCAATGACAGACAGTGACTCTCGATAAACTTGACCAAAAAAATCTCCCCGCTTGAGAATCAGACTCACCTTTTCAGCATGCAGTGGTGAAGAACGTAATCATTATACTGACACCAGTTCACATAGAAAGGGAAGGGAAACTTACTTGTTGATTTGGTTCCTGATATCGTCCAACTCCCTAGTTTCCTTCGTGACGACTTCCTTTTCTTCCGCAGCCAGATACCTCAACCTCATGTGCTCCAGCTCTTGTTGTTGTCGCTGTACAAGAGAAAGCAGGAAGAATTAAAAAGAGGGATACAGACTAGACATAAAAAGAGTTACAAATAGTCGAAACTGTCAAAGACTGCTACCCATTGTCAGGAAAAAAATGGTCTGTCTTAGACAGGTGGTCCTCTTAAAAAGTGTCATAATAATATAATTTTAAAAATTCCAAATGGGTAATAGGAAGTGGCCGTTAGAGCAGGTTCAACTGTATCGGTTGCTCAACTGTATCGGTTGTTCAACTGTATCGGTTCAACTAATTTTCCTACCCACCAATCATCTATTATCTTACTTTATTTTCAGGACAATTCTGGTGTTATGAAGTCCATGAAGGCCTACTTTTCCTGAGCAATAATTTATATAAATAAATTTATTCTCACTGAGAGTATCTCTGAAGTAATAATATTGGAGGAGGAGAGACCCAGCCCAAGAAAGCAAAGATTCTCTTTGAATTATTGTAGATGTACTTCTTGCATCTTCTTTCCGACATTTCCTGAATTTTTGTGCCAAGTTTGCTTCTTTTCCTCAAGCACTCTACCTATGATGACCATTGCAGTATAACGTTTTTCTACAACTCCCTTATCTATACACAAACCCTCCCTTCCTTATGTGGACAGCTACCCCCCCCCCCCCCCCCCAATACATGCTCAAGACTGTTTTCCCCCTCAGCACCCCCCCCCCCCCCTCCAAAAGTACCCTCTCCTGTCACCACATACCTGCAAATGAGCCTTTGCCACATCTTGCTCCTGCTGTTTCAATCGAGCCACCTCTTTGAGAGCACGGCCCCACTGCTGCTTGTAGTGCAGCTTGGACTTAGTGGCAGCATCCAGTTTGCGCTCCAGCTCCAACTGAGAATATGAAGACCACACAGAACTTGAAAATTGGAGAAGACATTGATGTTCTGAAACTGGTGAACTATCATGTTTGGAGCTAATAACAAAAGAGTCCTAGCTTTTAAAGGTTGAAAATCCAAAAGATGAGTTTTTAAAAAAGGAATGACTCCATGTGACAGCAAAAGGCAACAAATAATGAAAGCAATGTAGTAAATAAGATGAAAGCAAGAGTAACTGATTGTGTAATTGTGAAAATGTTTTACATCCCCTTTGTTTAGATGATATAAGAGGTGGACAGCTTCCACTCTGTCTGTCAGCGCTGTCCCGGGCTGAGCAGGAAACAGTATCCCACCACAGTGACAGACATAGGCCTACACCATAAAAATAACCCCATCTCTTGGGAAAAGCTCACTCATGTCATTTGCGTACAATGGCCAAGAGCGTAATTATTACATCACAGGCAACAGTACACATGAGAGAACAGCAACTACAGTACAAGAATGTAGATAGAACACCCACTGATAATCTAAAAAAGACTTATCCTTATCAATCTACATTTGGCACGTACAATTTCTAACAGAAAAACATTCATCACATATCTATGCAGATTTCACACAAAACAAAAAGAAAGACTAATAAATGAAAAGTGACAGTTCAAAACCACCCACTTTTCCCATAATGATAAAGATCTAATCTTCGGCAATCTGCTTTTGGCATGTACAATTTCAAAGTCTATGTTGACTTTATACACAACAAATAAATGAAACGTGAAAGTTCAAAACGTGAATCAACTCACTTTCTCCATATTGATAAGGTTGATCTCGGTTTGCAGTCTGACTTCTGGAGTTCTCGTCTGCTGTTCTTTGTATGTGGCAAATTCCTTTTCCAATGACTTGTACTTCTTTTCAGACTCTGCTAGCTAGAATAACAAAAATAAAAAGTAAATGACAGTCATTTTTAAAAAGTAAGAGACGTCCAGAGTACCAGTGAGAACCACTTATGACTTTAGTAACGACTGCATCAAAAAAGTTTTACTTATGATTAAAATGTTGATGATTGTGACTATACATGCCAAAAAAAAGCTCAATAGTAGAGTAACTTTATCTGACTATGTGCATAACAAAAGGACAAAATCATGTGTCTTAACAAAAAAAGAAAAAAGAAATGAGTCATGGATTAACAAACACCAACCACAGATGTCTTCAATATTGTTTTTCTTTTGTGGGAATTTCAAAAATTTCTACGAGAATGATTCACTGTGGACAAGAAGGGTGTCAGAACAAGAAATGGTGAAAAGCAGACAAAACTTACCTCTTGCTTGTACCTGTTTGTAATGTCCTCAATTTCCTTTGACTTCATTCTGCAAACACAAAAGAATTTATATAGTCATAAATATTGAAGAGTTATGATAAGCTATTCATAGCTAAAACCATCATGTATTTCTATCTTTTACACTATTGTTTCACCACAATTCCATAAATTTCCACAAAAATATGCAATTTCTAGTACCAACAAACAAAAAAGAAATGCTTCTATCAGAAAATACAGTGTCTTATTCCACTCTCAACTAACACTTTCATGGTTTAAGAAGAAATATGGCAGAAACAATGCACTTGCTTGTTTTCCAATTTTTAACCTAGCAAAATTTAAAACACTTTTACTAAATTTATTATAGGAGCTAAACATACAGATAGACAGGTAAACTGCACTATAAGCAGAAAAATCTCCAGCAAGGAACAGGCTAAAAAATCACAAGCCCTACAAGGCTGGCTTACTTCTGCAGCTCCACCTGGTGGTCACAATCTTCCTTCATTCTCCTCGATGCTTCTTTCATCTCTTGTAATTTGCGATCATGTTCGCGTTGAAGATCTGCTCGCAGTTTCGAAACCTGTCAATAACAACAAAAAAGAATTAAATAGTCTTCCTTTCAAGCACACTGTCCAGAAACCCCCTCCCAGAATTCAGCATAGATGTTCCCAATACTTGAAGCCTCACACCATACCTATTGAACGCCTACAGAGAAATCAGGGGCAGCAATACACCACAGTGGTAAAACTCTTTCTGTTTCGTGAAATAAATATTGATATAAAAATGGCCATTCAGTGCATGGAAATTACAAAATAAACAAGACAGAAATGACAGGTTGAAAGAAAAAAAAAGATGCACGGGGAAAAACAAATCCACCTTATAAGACAAACATTCATTCTTGCAAGAAGCTTACCTCCTGCTCATTGACAGCAAGTCTTTTCTCTCTTCTTTCTAAATCTGTGAGAGTTTTCCTCAGTTGGTCCTCCATCTGCTGGTATTCACTCAACTGTAGCAAAGAAGGAAAAAAAAAGGGGATGAAATTACCACTAAGGTAATGAATATTAAAAATTAATACTTCATATGGAAGGCATTTCAATGATTTGTTAATGAAAGTTTCACCTTTCTTTCATGCTGTTGGACAGACATTGGTTCAAGCAAATCAGAAATATAAAAATATTATCAACAAATACAATCCTATTTCACTACGTAACGAGTAACTATTTACAAATTTCAAGGTAAAAAACTCATGGTATTGGCAAAAACTCCAAAGAATTATAATTTTAATTACTACAGGCAAAGGAGATTTGCAGTTCATTGCAATTTTGATCATTAACAGACTGCCTCTTTAACATACACACCTTCTTCTGCATCAGAACTTCTCTTTCTGTGTCACGTTTTTTCCACTCTTCAGCCAAAGCCTTCATGTAGGAAGCCTCCTTAGTCTTGAGCTGTTGAAGTAAAGATATCAGTGATTTAAGTAATTCTGTCGTTAAGTTCTGCCTATCATAGAGCACTGCTGGGGGAAAAAAACACAGCGAGTCACCAAGACACCAATCGATCATTGACTGCTACAAACAACACAAAACCTCCGAAAAGAATCAGAGTGCTGAACTCCCATAATGTCTAAAGCACTTTGCACCACTCAGAAAGAAAAGAATCGGGTACAGACAATTATCAATGTATGTATATATATATAGCATGCCATAATAGAGTGCATTCCCATATTCCTTACAGTCAATTGCACATGGTCCCGTAGTAGCTAGAAAAACACAATCCACTGTCTGTGAGTTTCTTTGGAGCTGGGGAAAGATTGGTACATCTTTCTTTTTTTTCTTTTTTTTTAAAGGACTGAATAAGAAAAAAACCCAGCCCACCTTCTTTTCAAAATCTTTCTCTTGATTCTCCTTCCACACTTCCAACTCGATGGCGGCCTGGTACTCAGCTGTCCCACGAGGGCTGCTGGCCCCGACGCCTGCCACAGGCTCTGGGGGACCACTCGGCCCATTAGGAACAGACGACTGTATGCTGGAAGCTCCTGTCTGTCCCTGCAATAAGTTTGAACTTAGTTCAACTTAACGGTGTCAACACAAACCCAGCAGGAAGTCCAACTGTATTTTCGTTTTTCCCAAGTGAAATAAAATAGCATGACTAAAACTTCATTTTACTGTTCATGAATTTTTGCATCAGTTTAAAGAACATTTTAAAGTCAGTGAGCCGTAAACCTTATTTGAAATCAAAATCACCCAGTCCATTTTGCTACTTTTGATTGCGTCGCACATTACTTAGTTCAACAGCTTTTTTTCTTATGATCGTTTGCAAAGAACAACCTTCAGGATGTGTGGGTTGCTTTTCAGTCAAACACTAAAAAAAATTTATTTGGCTCCACAGACAACAAACACGAGCTGCACTAAACAGGAAAAAACAAAAAATCTTCAATGGTGTGTATGAAAGCATTTGAGTTTATGTATCAATTTGATCGATATTTTCACCACATAAAGTCAACCCTCACAGAAGTTGGCTGTTGTGACATGTTAGCAGGTATGATAGGACCCCAGTCTTCCAGGCTCAGCACCAGGCTTATGTCAGCACATCTTTCAGAAGAACTGTGGGAGTGGGGGAAAAAAAGAAAGTCATAACTATAGTAACTTCAACGCGACACATGCTACTTGCTTGAGAGTTTATTCTGAACAGCCATAATTCATGAGTGATTCGTGAAAAACACATCTAAATGGTCGCATGATACACACAAACATAAAGGACATAACTCGCATAATACAACGGAGAGTGAACTACAAAAATGAGCTCTGCAATTTAAAAAAAATCTCCCCAATTAAAAGTGTAATGGACCTTGAAAATCGGCAAAGTAAATATTTCAGGAACATTTCAACTTTAGACAGAACTGCTGTGAGCAGTACAATCCCAGTACCAGAGCTTTACATCAATCAGCTAAAATTTTGAGTTTCAACTTTTGAATTATGATGAATTGGAGACCAGTCTCTCCCAAAGTAAAGCTTATTGTCCACTACATGCAATTTTGAAGCAAAAATTTCAGCAGCAAGGTCAGTTGAGGCCCTTCTCCTATTTCATGGTATCCGAACGCTCACTAAAACCCAAGCCGACATAATCAAGAAGAGCACAACAGTATACATGAAACCGTACTGGAACAGTGACCCCACCAACGTACCACTGAAAAAAAACCCTAACACAATGCTATAGTTGATAATAAGAAAGTTAGTGATTTTCACAAACCCATCAGATGCTGTGACTGGAATTCTGTCCGAAGCCTCCTGTCTCCACCCCGTTACTCCAGCTGAACTCTGCAAAGAGAAGAGTATAGTTTTGGTAAGAGTATTATGGCATTTGTAACACGATAAGGTCATATAAGTGCTGAAGATAAGAGGTGTTATAAGAGAGTAACAAACACAAAAAAGGAGGAGAGATATAAAGACGAAAGATGTTTGATAGGAAAGAAAAAGCTATATGCCATAGCGGCCTATATTAGTCTACTCCAATGTCAAAAAAGTGATACTGACACAACTATCAAAAAGAGTTATTTTCACATCCAGATTCTATCCCAACCTTTAAGTTAAAATCTTAAGGACAAGACAAAAGAAAAAAAGCTATTAGTTCATAAACCAAATGTGGCTGCTTCATCTGTACAGAAAATGAAATTGCATGCATTCAGGCATCAAACCACTGCCAATTATTTCTGTGGCTGTTCGTTCAGGACACGATACGTTTCAAAAGTCACTTTTAACAGGTGTCAAAAATTGTAGAACAACTGGCTGCCTGCAGCCTGTTCATGTCGCTCACCATCATGCGGGTCCTATCTGCTGAGACGACCAAAGTGAGGGGGAGCTTTGCTGTCCCGACTAAAACATCTTGAGAAAGCTGCCGATCTCTGTTCCACACCTCCACTATCAAAGGCACTCTGGAGACAAAACATGGAAGTCACAATAAATGTTCAACCATACATAGCAATAAGCTATACAAAAAGAAAAAAATCAAAACGCTGAAAATACGATGACAATTCACTGATCAATTTAAGACACAGGATTCGTAAATGGAATACCTTTCTTTACCCATTCATCACAAACAGTTCATTTAATTCTACTAACTTTGTTGTCATCTTTTCAAAGCTGAAATTCAACACCATTTCTTTGCTAAGAACTCATTTCTGAGCGATTTACTTTCATCTCAATTCTTGATGCTTCAAAAAACTTACCTTATCTACGCGTCAACAGTCTTACTAAGAGCAGATTTATTCATGTGCACTATCAGGGGGAAAAAATCCAACAATACCGACAAACTGACCTGGCAAAGGTATCTTGCAATTGTTGCATTGTACACGCAAAGTCAAACGCACAAAATGACTGTGGGAGGAGAACTTCAGATCCCTTCCTGATTTCTACTGGAGGGTGCGTCAGAATTGGAGCAGCACTTCCAAAAAATGGATACACATATCTGAAAAAAAGTTTCATTGTCTGGTTGAAATTTCAGAATGATTGTACAGAAGTTAAGAAGCTAGACAGAAGGATAATGAAAAAAGTGAACTGAGCAAAAAGAATCATCTATAAGACTGCAATGAGAAAAAGAAAACACATAAAGACTAAGCATTTCTCTGTTGTTCCTGATTTGCAGGTGAGCAAAAACATTTGAGGTTACCCAACTCTTCTTGTGACAGTGAAGCGAAAAGAGACAAACAAACACAAACATATGCTAAAGAATCTTTACAAAACTGAGGGACATGTCATTTCCTAGCAACATTACAGCAAAGAAAATATACTCTTGACTCCTCACTTACCTCAGGAAAACATTTATTGTGTTTGTTGAATGGTTGTCTCTGATGCTTCTCAAATCAATGCTGAATGTGAAGTGATGAGCTTGCGCGGGAACTGAGATTTTCTCATGAAGACCTGTTGGAATAGACGGAGTATTTCAAGGATTATTTTCAAACGCAACAAAAACAGTACACTCTCCCCCTCCCTAAGAAAAACAAAACAACATGTGCACAATGAATACCATCTGGAGAAGAATCAGCAGATTTTTCTGGATCATTTATTACTCTCAGAGTTAAGAAAGATATGAAACACCAGATTCTCTTCACGATAAAGTGCTTTTAAAGTATACCCCCAAAAAAATGTTTCTATCTGGGCTGAAGTAAGCTGCACAGGAAAGTGTGACTGATTAACAGAATTTTTTCTCTCAATATTTTGATGACACTTTTGATTATTAGCTAGTTTCATGGCAGGAAAAAGGAGTTTCCATAACTATCATTTTCCCCCAAGTTTGACACCTATTCAGAAACAAATTCAAGGCATAGACAGTATACAGGGTAGACCTACCATTACTGCTGTACATAAGTTGTGTTTGGACGGAAGGCTGTTGCTGTTGTTGAACTATTTGTGGCTGTGGCTGGACAGCTGGCCTTGAGGAAGGGGGTTTGCTGTGAGCTTCACCTTCAGCTGTTCCAAATTCAATAAAGGAAATCTGAGAAACTTCAGACAACAAATTTCTTTCATGTCCAAATACACAAGGAGAGATCATAAGATAATCGTATAAAGTATCAAAATTTCTCATTGACAGTTAAATATGCTGTGTTTTAGCTTCCATAGCCAGGAATTGCCGACGCTGCAGACTTGTCATATGTTTTACTTGATATCAGATATTGAAACAAATAAGGAAGCTTCAACAATTGTTAAAATATAAAAAAGAAAACCTTCCCTTTTTAAAATAACATTCTCAGCAAATAAACTTTACATGAAACAAGGTGCTGAATTTTTACTAGTTAATTTATCCAGAATCATTTCATAGTGAAAGAATGCACACCCTGTTTATTCTCTGTGTGCTCCTCAGAGTCCTCAAATGTATCATCTGAGTATTGACCATCGTTCTCTCCAGATTTCTTCCCATTCTTCGACTTTCCATCTTTCTGCTGTTCACTTGGTCTCTTGCTACGTCTTGGGGACTCAGCTTTGCCTTCCACATTCGGGGGTACTCCCGTGACCAGAGCTGCCTCACCACCATCACGACTAGGGCTCTTTACTGCCTGAAAAGTAAATGTGAAAAAAAAAAAAGAAACATTAAGTTTGGGTAGTTCAAACAAAGAAAAACACATCAACACACAATAACAGCCATTTAATGTTAAGAAAACGCAAGACGGACAGACAGAAGCTAAAAAAGGAAAATGTAGAAGAACGACCCACCAGTACCACTCTCCAACCACCCCCTAACATCAACATGGACAGCACAAGACGTCCACTGATAAGTGAATGTGACAGAGTCACAATGTCCACAGCAAGGTTTTAAGACAGGTGGTCACTAGGTTGTGTCTTTGAGTAAGACATAGTAACCCATGTTCCCTGTTCAAATACTGGGCACAGCAGTGCAGAGCCAAACTAAGAGATGTAGGTAAAATAGTCTTTGGATCAATTAAGCAGTGTGGCCTAATGTGCTGAAAGACAGTAAGTAATTTGTGAAATACAATACATACGCCTGCAATTGCCATTGTAAGGGGGTAGATAAAACAAAATTGTATTCTCTTTTGATTTTGGAAATATTTGAACAAAATTGTATTCTCTTTTGATTTTGGAAATATTTGAATACAGAAACAAACAAAAATGGTTGTGAATCATTATACTAGCCAACCCATCCATGACCAAAAATAGGAGATTTTCTCAGAATCCTCCCTAACAATTGGAGTTTGGGGGGAAAAAAAGGAGTCTCCAGAACCCCATAAGACTCCGATTATTTTATCAGCTGATCATGACAAACAAATGTATATACTGCAAACATATTGTCATGCATATAAAAATATGTATTTTCACATCATTTACAATGAGCTGTGTAAATTCTTTAAAAACCTGCGTATTTTCACATCTTTACGATAGGTTGTACACGATTGATGGAAACAGAATTCAAGAAAAAATTTTTTTTTAAGCAAATCCGATCATGGCATAACAAAATTGGAAGGCTCCGATGTTCTCTAAGTGCTAGGCTAGTCTGAAATATTGAGAATTTATACTTACTAAATCTTCTTTTCGAAGCACTACTGACACACCAACACAGGGTAACAGTTTGTTCGATGCTGCAGGCACCTGTTGCTTCGATTTATTTGCGGAGAATAGCTGAAAAAAAGAAGAAAAGCAATATTATATACAGTGGAACAACATGTCAACAAACTCATCTTTCAAAATGACACTAAGAGATCAGAACTAAAGATCCCTAAACAATTGAAACACTCCTCATGAAACAAATTGAATGGAAAACTTATATAGGGGAAACTTTATGCAGAACGAAAGCAAATTTGACTTAAATTAAATCCACAAAATTGAGATGAACAACTGTGATCTGTGATATCAACACTAAAAAATAATATTTGTAAAGTGTCTTTTAACAAAAATCCATCTCTGCATCTTTCCTTTAATTCTTCAGTAAGCCAATTTGGGACAGTATCCATCAGTAACCTCAACATCATATCAGGTTAAATCACAGTTGAAAAATTCTTCCACATGAGGATACAAAAAACTGGTGTGAATGCATATGTGTGTGTGTGTGTGTCCGCGCGCGTTATATGTGAGAGAGAGAGAGAGAGAGAGTGTGTGTGTGTGTGTGAGAGTGTGTGTGTATTTGTGAGTGTGTATGTGTGTTTATATGCGTGCATATGTGAGCATTTGTATCCGTGTGAGTGTATGTGCGTGTGCGTGTGTTAGTGTGTGCTTGGTGTGCGCGTGTGGGCGCTCAAGTGTGTGTGTGTGTGTGTGAAAACAGCTGACACAGCATCAAATAGTACACAATTATTTTAATCGCAACAAAAATCAATATTCCCTCTAAGCCTACCTGAAAAGAACCCTCTATTGTGACTGGCCTCATGTAGATTTCTGTACTGTCTGACTTCAGCAGTGCAGTCAAGGGAATATCACAGTTACCTAAAGACTGGTCTCCACAACAAAGGTGAATCTGCAAAAGCAACAGAAAAATCTCACTAACTCTTATCTCCAAGAGGTGTAAACCACTATGTTGGGGCCCTCTTTTGGTACGAAATCTAAAAGTGACAATACGTCAGTAAACTGCTCATTAAATCAAAACAAGTGATTCTATTTTGATAGTTCTGCATCAAATGAAAAAACTTCTTGTAAAAGAGACCTGTTTTCTGCAATTGCCAATAAATAACTTGATGTCGAAGTCGTTGAAAAGGAAAATAAGGAATTCACATAGAGGCATTGCGTTTAACATCACTTGTGGAAAGATAGATTTCAAATGAAATTGAGAAATATAACTAAAGAGAGAAGGAGCATACACTCAAACACAGAGAACATCTTCCTCAACCTTGCTCCACTACAGCTTTAGGCAAATAATATCACTACATCTGACATTTTGTCTGACAGTTTTATGTAAATACTATGACTTCAACTAATATTTATTGTTTCACACAAAACGGTGTGTTTACCAAATTTTTTCGTATTTAAACTTACACACCATAACAACACCTACCTGAAGACCCGGCTGATGAGAGAAAAAATTTCTGAGCGCCTCTACACTACTCCTCACTTTGACAGAGGCTCTTTCAGCTGGAAAACTCGGCGTCATGAGATCATAAAATGGTTCATTTGTCACATCATTGCCCAGGAGAGAGTAGTAAAAGAAAAATCCGCTGGACGATGATGGCAAGGCGACTGCACTGGGAATCAGCTGTTCAGAAACAGTAGCAAAGATATAAACATTAGTGTAATCATGATAACTTATATAACACAAATGTAAACAAAAGATTAAAAACACCTCATAAAAGAGGTGGAGGGAAAGTAAATATCTGCACCAATAGTAATAAAAGTCAAGGTCTACCTGACTTCACATTTTCTTCCCCCGTGTACATGTCTTCACTTTGCAACTTCTCAGTGTAGAAATGGTATAATAAAATTTGATTACAATATGATAAAAATAACATATTTTTAAGCTCATCTTTGAAAACAGAAGAATTATTAGATGAGAACGCAATAATATATTTTGTAAACAACTCTTCATATGAAAGAACAAAATTACCACAAGTAATGAAAGAGATGACAAGGGATGCACTAGAAAGCCACAACAGGCATTAAAAATACAAATTAAACATATTAACCAATCACTGTATTCGACCAATAATGCTTACCTGCGCAAGGTTATTGGCATATGCAATGGTCACAGATAGAACAAATTGCTCTGTACACGATTTAGCTGGGCCTATTTGATAGTGACCATCCTCTTCATTAAGGACTGGAACCAGAGTCTTCAAATTCGTGGAAGAGCTTACTGCTGGTTCTGTTGGGACAAAAAAAAAAGTCAAAGAATGGGTACATGCAGTAAGACAGTTTTTATGAATGGTGAGGTTGCCCTAAAGCTTTGTTAATGCTAAGGTCATGATCCTGGTAACTAAGGAGAAGAAACACTTCCAAATATTTGTAATATAAAGTGAAAGTACTTAAAATGACCTCTTTGACAATGTAAACCTTACTAGTTACTAACTTTGTAAAGGAATTAAGTATTTACATTTTACTAACAACCCCCCTCCCCTCAAATTTGGAACAAGGATTAAATGAACATAATATAATAAAATGGAAATACTGAAACAACAGCTGCTGAAGAAATAAACAGGAACTATTCTTATACCAACTATCCTAACAACCCTTATATCAGCACTGCCTATGACAAAGGAAAAAAGAGTTGATTATAAATCTAAAATAGAAAAATATATTCTGCTTATCCTCACAAAGAAAAATTTTCTGTGGAATGGTAAATACATACCCAAACATGCACTTGTCAAAACACACACACACACATTTACATGCATAAAGCAAACACAAGAATAGTCAATGCATGGTAATACAATATGATGCTATTCGTGCACACCTGAAAATGACATAATCGTTCGTATTGATGACGTTATGGATGAATTTTTAAAACTTGTTGCTATGTCCTATTTTTGTTTTTGTTTTAGTAAGAGTTTTACGGCACTTGCAACACAACAAGGTCATATAAGTGCCGAAGATTAGAGGTGTTACAAGAGAGTAACAAACGTAAAAAGGAAGGACCAAACCACACCAAAGCACCCGCCAACCACCCACCACTATGTCGTATACATATAGAATTAGAATTGAAAGAATTTTTTAAAATTTGGTAATCAAATAAGCGATATAAATTCAGATTTAAACTTTGAAGTACAGATAAAGAAGATCACCGCACTCTTCTCGTTCCTGAAACAGATATAATCATGATATGAGGTGACATCAATATACTGACCTGAAGAAGGGGCAGACTGTTGCTGATCATTGTTTGGATCTTCATCCAGATACAGAGAAAGCTTCAGTTCTGGCTTTGTTTTATGATACTTGCTGTGAAGAAGCAGATGCCACTTGGGAGTCTATGAGAAGGCAAGTTCAGATGCATTTAGACCAAGACCATCCAGCTGACAGAAGTATGATATGATGACAGATGGATATTTCTCTCTCTCTCTCTGTTTTCATTTGTGTGTGTATGTGTGTGTGTGTGAGAGAGAGAGAGAGAGAGAGAGAGAGAGAGGAGAGAGAGAGAGAGAGAGAGAGAGAGAGAGAGAGAGAGAGAGAGAGAGAGACATGCATCCAATGAAATTGACTGCACAGGTTTAAAGATGATGCTGATGATAATGAGTAAAAGGGAAAATGAGAAGCTCTAAGGTGTAGTTGGTATAAAAACAGATATGGCACAATAGACAAAAATGGACTGAAAACCACACATTCAATCATAAATACTAAAGGGAAAGAATTAGCAGTCTTGAGTTATGACAAACTTATAGTTGGTAATCTAAAGAATTAGAGAATGACAGGAAGAGAAAAAAGTTAAAACCAAGAGCATACATAATTACTTATTATCACTACCCCCTTCCCTACCCTATGTAGACCAGTAAGTGCCTATAATTGCTGGGTTTATAGGAAATGATCAAGATGGGTATCATGAAGCCAAACTCACTAGAATTTCAAGAACAAGTATTACCTGCTTGTTGACTGCAGCTGATCGCAAGTCCATCACAACATATCCAATAGACTCCTTCATAGTTGTCTCAGAATCATATGCATAGCATTGTATTTTAATGGAGCTCCTTTGCAGTCTATGCTGCTGTAAAGCTTTGCGGTCCAGTTCCCATGCCAGTTCTTGATTGAAGTCAGGGACCTCAGAGTGGAGAACTGGATCTGTGGCCAGAAGCTCGCCATCGAACTTGGCTTCGACAATCAGCTTATGCTTCGATCGCTTTGGAAACCCTCGCCCTGGGAGAGAATAAACATGGCTAGGTGATAAACCATGCAAGATACACATCAACTTTGTTAATGAAAACTATTATTCATTAAATGCTTGGAAAGCTAATAATTACTTAACCCTGGAAGCACGTAGGCCCATGAAGGGTGAAAGCCGGGCTCCCCGGGAAGCGCGCAGGCCCTATATTTATAGGGCTGACCTACTTCGACCGGGAAGCACGCAGGCCCTGTATAAAGGGCATAGACACTGACCCTTTTCAATGGAAAATTTCAGTATTCCTTATTTGGAAAATGACGTAGTAAATTACAGGTCAAAGTCATAAAACGTGACCAATGACTTTGCAAGTTATCTTGACCTCGTAGAGCGTCTCTTGGCCAAGATATCGATCGATAAAGTGACGCGGTAGCTGAGCAACTACACGCTATGTGTTATCACATTTCCACTGTGCTAATGTACTAGTACTAATCATTGAGTTTATCGCGTTTTGCACTTTGTATTATTAGATCGCTTATCATTTTTAATGGCTCATTTTATCAGCTTTAAGAAAAAATAAGGTTTTATGTGCCTTATATCTGTTGAGCCGTAAATTGTCATTTTTCAAGAGCAGGTGTATACATCTCGGGTATCTCAGCTGATATCCCCCCCACCAAACCCCCATGTTTACAACCGATCGGCCGCGGCGGTGGGGCATTTTTGGCGGGTTACTTTCGGTGAAACGCTGAGCGCTTCTAGGGTTAAAAATAAGGCCACCTCTATTCTCACCCGGGGTGAGAATAGTGCAGGCGAGTCTTTTGGCTATTCTCACCCGGTGCGCGTTCACCATTATAGCCTAGATCTAGGCCAACAAATTTTGCGTTCACCCTAAACCACAGAATTCTACACTGTGATAACAGACAAATTGTAGAATTCTGTGCCGTGACCAAACGTTCCATTACAACTGTAGCCTACTAAAAGCGTACAATTTTGTCTGTGGGCAGTGGAGAGAGAGAGAGAGAAAGAGAGAGAGAGAGGAGTAGCGCGAGAACTTCCGGTCAAAACAAAATGGCGACCCGCGTAGTTCGGCTCGATTCGAACAGTGAAATAGCCATAGCATCTTTGAAGACGATCAAATTAGCTTACTTTTTTGCTATAACGTAATTTTTTCTTGGCTCTTATCAATTTGATCATCCACATCGATAGACAGTATTCCAAAATGAGGAAAAGCAGGTCTTGTTTCAAACTGGGTGAGAATAGCCTACGGTCGCAAGAGAGGTAGATCGTTTTTCTATTCTCACCCCGGATGAGAATAGCCACTTCCTAAAAATAATCAACCATCATAAAGATGATAATGGCTAGCAAATTGATGAAATTAAATTTCAATTTAGAAATTTATCAAATAACAAGGACAAATTCCTCAAAGATTCTAATTCTAATGAAACATTTCTAAAGTAAAGAAAAATTAATTATAGATTCTAGTCTCACTTTATACCTGAATGCCTTGCTGAACAACAGGAAGGAAGGTGTTGTGATAAGATTGAGAGGGTGCACATACATATGTATTATGTATAATAAGTCTGTGTATTGTGTTGTTGTTGTTTTAGTTGGTTTGGTTTGTTGTTGTTGTTTGTTGTTGTTGTTTTTTTTTTGGGGGGGGGCAGAGATGGAGATAGAAAGAAGGGGAGGGGTAGACAAAAGAGTTTAGCCCCTCTACCTTTTCTTATTGGCCTCGTTTCTTATTTGTAACAAAGGTCACAGAGCCCAATCTCTCCCATAAGTCTCAGAAGGACTAGATTCTAGATCTATAGAGGGCCCTCTACCTGGATCTATGATGAAAGGCTCACACTCACACCCACCATTCTCTCTGCTAGAGTCTAGATCTCTAGATTCTCTAAATCAATAGCTGGAATAACCACATACAATCTGCAATGCTCTACATTTTAATCCATCCTTGGATGAGCCATCCCATTAAGTCCCCAGATTACAGTAAAGTGATGATAAAGACCGGAATTGAGAAGAAAAGCAAGAGCCATTGCTTGCAATGAACGAAAGAGCATTTCATCAACATCATCTCTGGATCAAGAACGGACATGCTTCGGTTACTGAACTGGTCGTCTTCTCGTAAAGAAAAAACGGTGGGGCTTATGCGTATTATCTCGAGAGAAAAGCGACACTTACCTTCTAGAACAGATATAACAGCAAGAAATCTATTGCTACCACTCATTTTTCCTGCATTTAATAGCTAGACCAACTAAATAAATTCAGATATTTTCATTTCGTGCCCAAAACATTTCGTTTGAAATCATCCGCCATGTTTGTTGTTGATGCGGAAGTGATGTCACAGTATCAGCTGATTCATATTATTTACTTTCGAAATTATGAGAAATTGTACATCTTTATAAAAGATTTAATACAATTCTAAAGAAGGATAAGCAAACGTATTATTCTACAGCAAGGTTCTCATTTATTTTTGAATAGTAAACATAACAGTTTGCTCCGCCTAGATACGATAGCTCCCGACTTGCGCAGTCCGTTTTTCATCGGATTTTCACTTCCGGGTATATCTTTACGCGTATGAAAATTAGTGCATTGAATTTGCTCATTTTCTTTGAAAAATTTGGTTGTATAAGATTTATCCTCAGTTTCTCTTGTGTTTATTTATATAAAAGTCACTTATTATTAAAATACATCATCGTAATGGGCACCTAGGTTGATGGTGCGTATTCATTAATTCCGGCCTGGTGTGTGTGAAAAGGCTCTTGGTATTGATGGACAAAAGATAGGAAAACAAGAAATTTGTGTGAGAAATCGGACGACACAGACTGTGATTATGATTGATGGAGGCCAAAATGTGAACGTGTCAAAAGAGTATTAGTTTTTTTATACAGATTACGTTCAATGGGTGGGGAAACCCACCAGAATTTTCGAAAATTTTCAATATATGGGCTTGAAACGTGCCTTCATCCCGAGTTCGAACAGAACGGGCCTCTCTGAACCGAATGAACTGGGGTTCGGTTTAGTGTACATTGGTGTGTGTCCAAGAACACAGAATTATTCTTGCCAGATCCGGTTAGTAGAGTTGCATCTATAATGGGTGTGAGATAATCCGTACAAAGTTCCACTGTACGCAAAACTTTGCTTAATCATCAATGCTGAAATACCTGAAACTGACAAGGAAAGGCAACCCCCTCTTACTTCAGTAGACAACAAAGTCAGTAACTCAACTGGCTTGATCATCAGCCTCAGGGATTAGATTGTTTGTTTGTTTTTTTTAGAATGATCTGATCAGTGTAGTTTCTTGTTCCCTAATGACTACGCCTCACAAGGACTACGAAAAACAAGACGACACAACTCGGAGGAAGTCAGGCAGTGGTCGCGGCATGCATAGCTCACAGAGACAAAGCTCCTCCAGCAACCCCGCAGTGATGATGGTGGGCCCTAACTATCGAGTGGGCAAAAAGATTGGTTGTGGCAACTTCGGGGAGTTGAGAGTTGGTAAGTCAATTTTAAGCCGCTACAGATTTATATATATCTAATTCCATGGTAATTAGATCTAGAATCTAGTAGTTGTAAGTTGTTCACACATGAATCTACAGCGAGCACCTAGCACACCTCTGTGATTAGCGCAAATATAGCCTAGGTGACATATTTCGGCCATCTATTTTTGTCGTCTTCCGGGCCTCCCTCGCCAGTTGACAAGACCTCATCGTACAGGCCTGCTTTGCCGCTTCGCGCGCGATGGCGTACGTCACTAGGTTTCATCGCCGACTGCTTGGGCTATACTATGTGTGTGTGCACGCGCGCGCGCTTTTAATAATGTGTGTGTATGTGTGCATACAACTTTGAGAAGGTAAGTTTATGGAACGAGAATTGCTAAGATTGTTTTTAACCCTCGTCCTGCGGGAGCCGGTTTATGTTGCCTTAATAAGCCTATTTCGGCATCTTGCCTACGTTCTGGTCCCAAATCAATGTAGCCCATGGCTCAGCGCACGCGCACCACGCATCATCTTACGTCAAATTCGGGTCCTGAGTCGGATCCCCATTCACGCAGGTCAAGTGTGTGTGCATCAGTCTGCTTGAGTTTGTGTGCGTTTGTGGCCTTCTTCTAGAACCGCCTGCGTTGGTTCGTAATCGAGGCATATACACGTCTCATTCAAAACACGCCAAGTTGATAGCTCTAGATGTTCGTCCAATGAAATAATTATAGAAGAAATTGACCCACTTACACATGAGGAGCTCGAAAGGATAGTCAGGAAACAAGACTTCCATTTTTCTATACAAAATCTTTCAAATGAGCTTGATTTTGTATGAAATGATACTACCTGATAAAGAATACGAAGTGTATACAGACCCGGTAACCGGGAATAAAGTCACGAAGTATACAGACCCGGAAGGGGAACTCTTTTGTGATTTCGGAAAGTTTCAGCGCCCAGACCCGGTAGTGTGTGTGTGTGTGTGAATTAGAGAGAGAGAGCAGGGGGAAGTGCTAGCAAAATGTATGACATGCCCCAGTTGGCAGGAGGGAACGAGAGAAAGATAGAGTGGGAAATAGGTGGGGAGAAAGAAAGACAGAGACAATCAAAGAAAAAAAGAATGCGAGCGATACACACACAGAGAGAGAGAGAGTGCTCGATTGAAATTATGACATTGTTCTTTTCTTCAAATTGTGATTCCTCTAACTCCAAAACGGGATGGGGGTGGTGGGGGGGGATCGTTCATCGAAAAGACATCCTCGATCTTCATTTAGATCTAGATCTAGGCTAGCCTCGAAACTAGATCAATGATTTATATCTCTGTCTGTCTAGATCTAGAACTAGACCTAGGTCATATATCTAGAAGAACCTAGTTCTACCCTCCGAAATCACAAGAGTTCCCCTACCGGGTCTGTATACTTTGTGACTTTGTTCCCGGTTACCGGGTCTGTATACACTCCCTAAAGAATAAGCTTTTGTACAGGTTCAAAGAACAATTTGAGTGTAAATATTCGGAAATTGACCTATATTATTCCCTTTCGAACCTCAGGTCATTCGTAACAACAAGAACGTCTAGAATTCGAATGGGCGTAACTACTCGTAATGTGAGAGGGGGTTATTCATGTGTTTGTAACACTTTATAAATAGAAAGCTATGAAAGATAAAGCGTTATTTTCATCATCGATTAACACACTCCCACGGTTTTCATGGCGACAACACACGTTTCCTGGCGCGTGCGCTGTACACCAGCAGTACACACTGAGTGACCCCGGCGGCCTGCCCGGCACGTCCGACGTAATTGGTTGCTGATAAGATTCGCATCTCAGCATAGACGCAGGACAAGAGTTAAAAGATAACACAAATTAATACCAAAAAAAACACGGCGAGATCTTGTCAACAGTTACTGGCGAAGGAAACCCACCAAATGTCTTGAGGGAAACCCCGGAAGGCGACAAAAATAGAGGGCGGAAATACATTGTCTATATTTGAGCCAATCACAGATGTTTGCTAGGTGCTCGCTGTCGCTTCATGTGTTGTGTTCACTCAAGGCTGGACTATGTTTATAGAAGGGTAGCGTCAATTGCCACCGAGTGACGCTGTGGCAATTGACAAAAATTGACTTTTTGTCAATTGCCACCGAGTGAAGTGGTGTCAAGTCTGAAAACAACACTATCTTTACCATTATACATGTGTGTCCAATGAGTCAAATTGTTCTCAACTAATTTCATTGGACAAGCATCTAGTTTAGAGCTACGGTACCAACTTGGTGTGTTTTCAATGAGACGTATCTAGGCTAGCCTTAGCCTACACTTTGGTGTAGAACCAACACAGGCAATTCTAGAAGTAGGCCTAGAAGGTCACAAATGCACACAAACTTAAGCAGAAATTCACGTTATATCGGGGAACATAAATCGGGGGACAGGGGTCAGGAAAAGACACACATACACACACAGAGGCGAAAGCACAACACCGAGCACTCGAGCACAGTAAGCTAGATCTACCCCCAAACGCAAAAGAGCTCCTATTTACTTGGTGGCAATTGACAAAAAGTCAATTTTTGTCAATTGCCACCGCGTCACTCGGTGGCAATTGACACTACCTTATAGAAGGCCCTAGCCTGTGTCCTTGAAGTAGAAAAAGTTTTGAAAGCCTGATATTCATGCCGTCTGATTCCATGGTAATTTGTTGGCCACTCTAAGCTATCTTCTTATATATATATGTATACAGTCGAACCTGCCCTGACGGCCACCTGTACAAACGGACACTTTCCATTTCCCACTTTGGGTTTTTTCTATATAATTTAATTGTGTAAAACAGGCACCTGTCCAACACGGCCGCGGCCACCATATTTTAACACACAACCCCTATCACACTAAGCAATAACACCTGTCTTAGACGGCCACCTTAGTGACTCCATTAAGTTTTGTCATAAATTGTGCACTAGCCCCTGGCATTGTGGGCGAGCCGTCATAATCCAATCACTTGTCGTTGTTGTTAGGTAGTCCCTCCAACCGATCATGTTGCGTAGACCCCTCCCACTGTTAACCAATAGGTACCAAGTTTCAGCTGCTGGTGAGGTAAGCATGTGATCCCTCATAACCCATAAGCCCCGCCCAGAACTCATACACAAATTGTACGTGAGATGAGTGGTCGCTGTTTACCCAGTCTGTAACAAACTAACAATGGATGTCAACATGAAATTTCGACAGAAGCGTCGCTCATTCTCTGAGTGGTGGAGACCCATGTGTTTGTTTTAACATGGCACTCGGTCTTCGGCGTCTGACACATTTCGTATTATTGTCACCCTTGCGCAAAATCAGCAACAAAATAAAAATAGCAAACAAAATGCAAACCAACAACAATGCGGCTACTTTCGATTGGGACTTCAGATGGGAATATTTTGTTTTCTTCATCTTGATCAGTCCTGCCTAAGACGACCACCTGTCTTATACGGCCACTTTTCTCCTTGACAATGGGTGGCTGTCTTACACAGGTTTGACTGTATACCCTTCAAGCAGAAAATTTTGAAGAAAGTCTGTTTTTTGTGGTGGTTGGTGGGAACATCTTTCCTGGTCACCCTGGTATTGTTTTTGTGCCTTTTAATATTTTTTTAGGTATTTTTTTTACTTTCCCTCCCGTCTCACACTTAGCTATCAGTTGTCCATTTTCTACTAAATATTGATGCGCTGAACATGAATATCAACTTCATTTCCGTCACAAATTAATAGTTTTTTTGAAATATCTGATTGTTCTTAATCGAGATAGACATGCTTTGGACCAATCAGGTGGTTCCAGGGGGCCTGCCCCCCTGAGGTAAAAGAAAATGTGGGGGGTTACAGGCCCCCCTGTTTTAACCCATAATTTGATATTTTACAGTTATATTTCACATTTTCCTGAAAATAATTGATTTGCGACAGTTTTAGTGGCTTTATGTGTGATCTGCAGCAATCAGTGTACTGCAGTTTGATCCCTGAAGCAGTGCATCTGTGTGCGGGAGTGAAAGTAAAGATTTGCCTTTTTTTATTTTGGGGAAAACAAACAATGAAAGAGTTTGTTACAAAGACAGGCAGTTTCATGGTCATGAAGCCCTGGCACAGAGGATCACTACATATTAATGCAATATTTTGTTTTGCATTTAGTAATGGTTATAGTAGTATGTTAAAAGTAGTATATTTGTACTAAACCATGAACCACTTGGATAGATGTGAAGCAAGAGAGCACTTAACACACCACTGTGATTGGCCCAAATGTAGATGACGTATTTCAGCCATCTATTTTTGTCATTTTCCAGTGTTTCCTTCGCGAGTTGACACACCCTTTATTATTATTCGTCGGAATGCCAGTGACAAAATTACTAGAGATAGAAAAGCAGCGTTTTGTAAACCACTATTACCAATTCGTCTCTATAATTTAATTTCATTATAGCCTATAATTATAGATGCATTATCAACATGTTTCAGGTTTACTGATAAGCTCTGATGTCATGAGGGATGAGACAAAAAAAACCCGATTGGCTATGGGGGGGAACAGCACCCCGAAAGTCCCGAATCGGCTCAAAACTATGGGTTTTAAGTTGAATGCATTTATTTGCTTCTTCAGCCTTTCTTACAACTATTTCATTGCATAAGAATCCCCTAAATCCTTTTTTCTTCCTGTACCAGGTACTTTTGTCGCCACCATTTCCTCTTTTTTTAAATCGCGTTTTCTCGAAACATGGTTTTTCTATAATATACTTTTTAAAATAACTCCACCATTTTTTTATCCAATCTTCGGGAAATTTTCAAGAATTAAGAAAAGATGTAGTACTAAACTTTGTGTGATTAATTTTTTAATAGATTTTTGTTGGTGGTGTTTAGAGTGGATTTTCACAGATTTTTGGTATTCCTCAGGAAAAAATTATGTTCAGGAAAAATTAATCACACAGATTTTTAGATCTATTGTTTGCCAAGATCCATTCAAGAAAACTATATTTCCATGAAAAATAAGTGTAGTATTAATTATGTAAGAAATGTCACAAAAAAATCCAATATGACCACAGTATCCATGGAAACAACATTTAAAACAATCAAAATTGAATATGGATCTTTAGACTCTTTACTATGATATATATATGTATGTGCGTGAAATTTGGTAACATTTGATCCACTAATAAGCGAGATAGTCTTCAGCTGCCATCTGCCCACCCCTCTTACTCTATGACCAATTGAAGATGAAATATGAAATGACAATGTTATAAGGTTACAGATTAATGATGAACAAAAAGAACAGACAGTAGTACAAAAGTTTCCGATATGGTTTCGATTATAAAAGAATAAAGGATGATATATCTTGTCAACTCGCTAGGGAAGACGACAATAATAGATGGCGTAAATGCGTCATCTATTTTATTTGGGCCAACCACAGAGGTGTGCTTGGTGCTCTCTCGTAGCTTCATGTCTTGGGAAGTCACCCTCGTTCATTAAAAAATGAGTTAATGACCAAGTTTGAGAAAAAAGTGTATTCTTTTACTTTCACTCTATCGTCTTATATGCTTAGGTTTTGCAAAGTCCTTTTCTTGTTCATTGTCATCTGTTTTACGCGAATATTAACTTTATATTGGTCGCAAATCAATCAATAGTTGTTGTTTTTTAGTATTTGGTGGTTTCTATTCAAACTATCACACTAGGCTAAGCCTGACTATTTGCACTAAGTAATTTCCACTCTGAACCAATCGGTGGGTGGGGAGGTCGGGAGGGTGCATTTCCCGGAGGGAAAAAAATCAAAGGGTGTACGGGGGTGTTTGTTCCCATAATTTGATGTTTTGCAATCTTATGTTTGGAATTTTCTTGAAAATAATTTATTTGCGACAGTTTTAGTGACCATGTTAGATGTGTGATCTGCAGCACAAAAATCCCTGCAGTTTGACCTCAGGAGCAGTACTTCTGTTTCAGGAAGTGAAAGTAAAAATTTACCCAAAAATGTAGCTGTTGGCTAGTCCTTGTATTGCTTAATTTTAATAATTTTTTTACACTGTGGGGAATGTTCTGTCCTGCATGTGAAGATTTTGTGATGGAAAATTGCACAAGGCCTTCCTAACACCTGAAAGTAAAAGTAACTTTGATAGAGTAATTCCTCAAGTCATGGCCATGTCACGGTCAACCCATTCTCTCTATCTGATCTTTTTTTAAGATTAAATGCAAAAGTAAAATTTACACTCAAAGTAGTGACTACTGTGAGAACGTAAAGTTTACTTGGATACGGTTTATCATGACACAGAGGAATAGAAAGAGGGCCATCTTTGTTTTTAGTTCTGTGCTAATGTTAAATGTGGGTCCAAAAATACATTTTCTCAACAAAGTCGAAAAATCGTTCAAAATCTCTTTTAAAAACAGGAATAAAGTTAAATGAAAAATGAAAAAAAGTATGAGAGTGTGTGGTACACAGTTGATATATATGGAGAACATGTTTTGACCATATTTTTTGTCTTCTGCAGGTAAAAATCTCTACAACAGCGAACATGTCGCTATCAAATTGGTAAGTTGAGAAAGATTAAGCGATTGAATGAGTTACTTCTTCATTTTTGTATTAATGTTACGACACAGTAGAATGGGGCGCTTGTCAATTTTTGGGCATATTCAGTTATTGTTATCATCTTAATGTTTGTTCAATTTTGTCTTGCTTTTCTTGCTTTTGGTGAAAAAATATCTGTTTCTTGAGAATAAAAGTAGAGAAATTTACGCTCAAAGGAGGTTCGGGGTAAAATTAGCAAGGAAATGGCAGCCAAAATTGAGTGACTTTCAAAGCTTGCGTGTCCTTGGAAACTGCAAATTTACATTTTTTGTGCCTTTGGTCAACGTTTTTCAGTAAAATCTACACGGAAATGTGTTTTTAAATACACTTAAAAGGTGTTGAGCACAACAAAGAAATTCGGGAGGAAATTGCCCAACTCCCAGAAAAGTGTAGGTTTCTCTGATTTCATTATTTTGACGAGTGCCTGATTTCACCACGATGCCTCACATATTATATTATAGATATAAAAGGCCAGCAGAGACATGTGTCTTTTGTCCGCAGAAGTCTCAGAATTGTACTGGGCCAATTTGGGGACTTGGAGGTTAAATAAATATGCAGTTATTTTCGTTTATAATATGTTTGGGGCAGTGTTACTATAGGGACCTTTCACAAATGAAAACTGAATTTTTAACAAGACCAGTCGAAGTTCAAAACTAGCTGTGTATATATATTCATTTTATATCCTATTCACAAATAACTTACAATTTTTTTTTGGTTTCTTTATTCGTAATTTAATTGGTTCTTCTATTTCCCTTGGCCTTAATTAATTTGGAACAGTAAGATCACAATAATTATACCACTTTGTGTTTCAGGAACCTATGAAATCTCGAGCTCCACAGTTACACTTGGAATATCGGTTTTATAAACAGTTAGGACAGTCAGGTATGTTGATTTGTTTGCTTGTTTGCAGTAATTATACTTTCATTTAGTATTGTGTACATAGTAAATATTATTTAAAGCATTTTGTACTTAATTTTAAAATTTGTTTTCATCATGGTAGTTCTGGGGGTCTTTTTTCTTGAAGTTCACTTATTTCTGCTTCTTTTTTCTTAACATTTTCTTTCAAGGGGTTTCTTTTTTGTAGCTGGAATTGCTTTTTTTTTCTTTTTCTTTTTAAAATAATATTTTCATTCTCTAGTTATCTTTTTTGCCTTATATTTACCTGGGTATCCTATTTTGCCATCAGGTCCCCTACCTGGTAAGTTCATCACCATTTCTTTTTCTCTGTTGTCTGATTTGAATGTATTGTTTGGCTTTTTTGTTTTTTGTGTAAAGGAGATAGAACTTGTGTTTCTTCTTGAAAGATCTTGTCTATGCAACCTGTGCCTCTATTTTAACCATTCTTTTTTCTATGCTCTGAAAGTGTGTTATAAAAATACTCTTGTTTATATAATTGAGAAATAAATGATAACACTGAAAGGTCAAGATAGCCAGGTTTAATGAACTTTTAAGTAATTAGATGAGCACTGCTGTACAACTCTTCAAGTGGGTTTTAGACTGCTAGACATTGGTAATAATTTATGTTCGCTTTAGAATAGATTACAACTATGTAACAAAGTGCTTTTGAAGAAATAAATTTGTTCTTTGTTCGGCAAAAGTCCATACATTTGTCTGTTATAATCTTCACAGCATACCTTTGCACACTTTTATACACTTTACCATGTTTCATGTTATGTCCATTAGTTCTGTATTTATGGATGTATTTCGGAGAAAAATGTTTGAGGTTAAAGAAACCAGCTGGCTGCTGTTTCTAGGTACTAACTATATATTTATCCTTGTGGGAATGTAGAGGTGTGTAAATTGTTCTCCTTACATTTTCAACTTGGCTGTTTAAAATTATACAGTGGTGGGTGATGACAAAGAAGTTCTTTTAATGGGCTTGTTTAATCATGATTAGAAGTGATCATCATGTAAAGAGTCTGTCCTTATTTTTAGAGATTTTCTATCTCCCGTTAATTTAGAAAGGATACCCGCTTCAATTGAGATTCTCAATGGCAACTGTAGTATTCACTTGAGGCATGACCACATTGTGACTCTGAAAAGGGGCTTTTTTATCAGCAATTTTCAAGAAGCTTTACTTTAAAGAACATGTTAGCTTTTTAAAGTCCTTACTGACTGAATCAAACATTTGTTTTAGAGTAATGAGTTTATTCTTAATGTGGCAAATCTATCTTGCTTGTGTTGTTCCTCTGTAAAGAATGCTTAGTTCTTGTAGGTGCCAGTTTTTTGTACCAGTCAGTGATGAAGTCAGTACTAACTTTTGAAGTGACTGCCTAGTTACATTTTTTCTATAGACGTTCTTACTTATGATTGTGTAACTAGTGAGTGGTTGGTGGGTGCTCTGTCAGGTGTGGTTTGCTTCTTCTTTCCTTATCAAATATATCTCGTCCTACTCTTTTCCTTCTTTCCTTTGTCTGTTAACATTTCGAAGCTTTGGCTCTTGTATGACCTAATTGTGTTGCAAGTACCGTAAAACTCTAACTAAAGCTGATTAGTATGATGTCCTGGGCAGTAGAAGGGTTCCCAAAGTCAATGTGCATTTGACCATTTATTTGCATTCTTCATTTCCAAGGTCACATAAATTATATAATGCCAATGTACCGCTGGTGTTCCTGGCAAGTTATGCAAGCCTGAACCCTTTGGTACTTATTTTTTTAAAACCAAAAATGGTTATTTGTTTTCTGGCTCTTTGGTGTTCATACCTCTGGTTGGTTGGTCTGCGCATTGTTAAAATGTTGTTGTGGATGGGAAATGGGTACATGTGATCTTATACATATATGAAAAATGCTGTACTTTAAATGCCAAACAAAAATATATACAAAAAAGGAGAAACAACAACGGCTAGTTGTTTTGATTCCATCAGGTAAAGGGGAAACAATCTACCTTTTGGGGGAGGGGGGGGGGGGTCTCACATCGAGCACTGAATTGCCTGAAAAGATGTATCATGTCACATTATTTTGTTATTATTGAAAATTGCTTTAAAGTCATCCTGTTAAAGGAAGTCCTATTCTTTCTCTCAGTATGATAAGTTGGTGAAATTCCAGTGGTGTCTAGATAGGCAACTGTATACTGTTCAATAAGTCAGAAATTATGTTTTAAAGTATTTGTGGATTTTGCTCTGATACTGAAATTGTTTGTGTTATTATAGCTGGTACACTTTGGTTTTATTGAGTCTGGTGCCCGTGATTGCCTAAGATGCCACAGTAATGCTCTCATAATTTCTATATTAACCCTATCTGTATCATGTCATGTTTTCGTATCGTATCATTACGACATGAGGAACTCTGTGCCACCCCTTTCCAAAGTGGAAATTTACTCGTAAATCTGATCCGTACGCTTTGCATAGCGGTCTGTTAAAATTTTTTGTTGAGAAATACTGAAGTTTCAAAGAGATCTTTGCTCTAGAAGTATTCTAAAATGTGAAGAATACAACCCCGGTTGTACAAAATGACCCCAGGGCGTACGGATAAGGTTAATAATAGACTAGACCTTTTTTGTAAAGTTTGTTGTAGAATCTGGATCTTCTTTCCTCTAACAAATCCTCTTGTTGGACACATGACATACACATTTACATGTAGAACTGCAGATTATGATGAATGCATAATGAAGCAACAAAACTTCCTGAACTTTTGATCTGTGTGAAATGTTATTTATTAATGCATGGTATGAGTTTTTTAAATTTTGGCCGGGGGGGGGGGGGGTTCAGGTGCGTTAATTATTCATGCTATTGCTGTTACTAAACTAGATTTAAACGAGTGATTAAGTTTAACTTTAACCATGCTTATAGGGTGAGGTATAAACTTTGAAAGTTGCTACAAGTTTTTCTTGCCACACTGAAGAGATGCTTTCATGCTTTTTACACTTTTACTTATTTTGACTTTGGTTTTCTAATTTTCAATGAAGATAGAAAAGTTTGATTGGATAAAAGAACTATTAACTGCATTCACGTTTTAGTAATCTTGAGTGTAATGTGTCTGTAAGGTGATTGTAATGGAGGCCAACGCATTTGGCTTCTTCTTTTTTTTTTTTTTCTTAACGTTTTATTTTGCACACAATTACTGCAATACTTAACCTGCTATGCTAATTTCCAAAACCTTGAAGAAACAACACTTTTCTTTGTACTTTGTATTGGATCACCAACTTATTACATCACTGTGTCGATGAAGTGTTTTATAAATCAAATATTGACAATACAGGGTACTCTCCAATATTTCCAGAAAGTCTTAAATCAAATGACAGATGAATTTGGCACGGTTCTTTGTTCTTTCTGGTCCCTTTCCTCTTCCCCCCCCCCCCATCTTCACCTATATATATCCCTCTTACTGGTCTGGTGTATTTTATTTGGATTTCTGAGATTTGTTAATTGGAAGAAAAAGAATGCATGGTTTGGCACAAATTCTTTAGTATTCCAATCTGTCATTGACATTTTCTCCTTTTTGACATTAAAAGAAAGATATTTAGCAGTTAATGAATGTGATTGACCAGTTGGACTTTATCTCTGCACAGCTACTTTGTTTTTATTTTTGTGTTTTGCTCTTTGCATGTTTGTGTCTAGGTTGTCTTTGTTAGCTTGGAATCGTGCAGAGTTGTGGCACTGAGTTATGAGTATTTGTAATTTTTAGTTTCCCTGATTTTGTTTATATGAAAATTTGAGATATTAGTGGCTTTGAGTTTGAATGATGTTTCTCTCGTTTTTATGTAGTCCCTCATCATTTCTGGAACCCACCCCAAGCTACAGTGGTTAAATATTTATAGTGGGTTGTTGGAGGGTGCTCTGGTGTGGTTTGCTTCTTCTTTCCTATGAAACGTCTATCATCCTTTTCTCCCCTTCTTCTTTTTTGTTTGTTACTCTCTTGTAAACCTCAAATCTTCTGGCGCTCATATGACCTTATGCAGTTGCGAACGCCATAAATCCTCTCCTAAAACTAAAAGATTTATAAATGCACTGGGGTTTGATAAGTAAGTTTATGGTTCGTCATCCGTCAACAACTTGATGATTGAGTAATGCCTTTTTCAACCATACTGTTGTTATGCTGTAGCTGGCCTCTTAAACATCTTTGTGGGGAAATGTACTTTTATTCCAGTTGTGTTGCTTTTAATTATGGTCACTCACTGTTATGTCTTCAAATAGAAATTGTAAGTCTTAAGACATGGATGCTGTCTGTATCATCTTTAAAAAAGTGCTTTCAACTGTTCTGTCTTGTCTGTTTTTACTTGTCTCCCATACAGGATTGTTAGGAAGATGAAACATAATTACTTGTTTTCCTTTTACATCTCACTTTATTCTTAATTTTAAGAATGAATTAAAGAACAGGTTTTTTTATTTGTCAAAACAAACCCTGAAAGTACTCTTTCATTTTTCTTTTCCCTTTGCAGAGGGTGTTCCAAACGTGTATTATTTTGGTCCCGTGGGCAAATACAATGCCTTGGTGCTGGAGCTATTGGGTCCTAGCCTGGAGGATTTGTTTGATCTCTGTGATAGAAAGTTCACACTTAAAACTGTGCTCATGATTGCCATACAATTGGTAAGTATCTCTCTCTCTCTCTCTCTCTCTCTTTTATAGGAGACTCAAGAAACACTGTTATGCATCCAAATTTTAATGTGAATTTTTTTTATGCCTAATGTTTCACTGCTCTCACAAAACCATAAACTACTTGCAGTTTCTAGTCTAGCTCTCAGTTTTGTATTGCTGCCTACAATGTCCACTGAGTACAGCCATAGTGTTTGTACTACACATCACAATTTCCGATAGTGCAGGAGGTCTGGACAGGAAGTACTCTGTAATTATCTGGTTTCTCATGACTGGCATTTCTTGTAATTAGTTATCATTAAGTCCTACTGTGTAATGGCCCCCGGTCATTAGTATAATCAGTTCACTAAGACGTACGGTGTAGTCTTACGTTAACCCATTTGTTCCTCTTGCGAAGACGTTGGTCATTTACATTGTTCAAAGGCTTCAGAAATTCTTTGTGAAATCAGGATATGTTTTTCTTCCATGTTTGTTGTATTTAGAGAGCAGTAAACATAATGAATTGACAATAACTCTGTCCCAAAAAGGACTCAACGATTGTAAAACATTTGCCATTGTCGTGCTACTTTAGGCAGGTTAACCTTGTTTCCACAATGGCAAAATAACTATTGGGCGTGTTCTTGGGGGGGTTGTTGTTTGTTTGGAGACTGTTGACCCCACGTTGGAGCTCTAGGTTTGAATGACATTTGGTTGTGTAAGCGACAAACAGCTGGAAAGGTTTATGATGTCTTGTGTGACAAAAATGTCACTTCTTTTTGTCCCAAATAGTCTTCTCCCCCCCAATATAAACATCCGTACATTTAAGTTAATTGAACTTAACAAAGACCATTCTCATCAACTTTTGAGTTACTCATTTAAAGAGATCTTTGGATTAAATTGTTCTTCTACTGTACCACCGTATTGATTGCTCTGAATATATCCGTTAGGGAAAAAAATCTGAGAATGCATTAATATACTTTGATATGCTTCTGTCCGGTTTGTGATTATCATTGGTATTTTCTTTTCTTTCACAGATAACTCGTATGGAGTATGTTCACTCAAAGCACTTGATTTATCGAGATGTGAAGCCAGAAAATTTCTTGATAGGCAGACAGTCCTCGAAAAAGCAGCATATCATCCACATCATAGACTTTGGGCTAGCGAAAGAGTACATCGATCCGGAGACCCACAAGCATATTCCTTACAGGGAGCACAAAAGTCTCACAGGCACAGCGCGGTATATGAGCATAAACACACACTTGGGCAAAGGTAAGATTTGTATGCTTCTTTCCTTTCCTTTCCTTTTCTTCTTCGTCTTTTTTTTTTTCTTTTCTCTTTTTAAAAATAAGTTATGAGCGACGTTTTACAGGTTTGTTTCTTGAATATTTTTTGTTGTTGTTCTTTTGCTGTCCAGGGGCTAATTTTATGAATAACCTTTTGTGGACGTTCCACAGTTCTATGGTGTTATTTCAGGTCTAAGAGAGAATGGTTGGTGTTTGAAATGAGAGTTAAGATGCTTTTCAAAGATATTGAAATACACTCTCCTGTGGAGAAATAGTTGATGACATAATCATTCATTGTTTGTAAATAATTCTTCACGGCTGTTCAAGGCCATAGTACTTAAGTTCTACCGGCACCCCGCAGCGCCCAGCCGCTCAGCTTAACTCAAACCAGCCATTACCAACAGGTCAAGAGGTCAGGGGAGGGGGGGGTACCTGACTGACAGATTGGCAGTGAATATGTTATTGTGGCGATTTTAGGCTTCGTTTAACCTGCGACTGAGCCCAAAGTACAACACCAACAGTGCATCAAACCGTATTCTTTGAATAAGCATCATCTAACATATTTCTTTAGAGCAATCATGCAACTAATTAAGATAAAGAAATATGAGATGACGAAGAAAGAAAAGTGGATACAAGTTTAAACATTGATAGAGGATCATGATTTATTTCTTTGAATTTGAACGTGAGAATTAACTGCGGACGATGTTGACAATTTTAAGATACTGGGTCAGAATTTGAGTAAAGTTTCAAACTCACTCTGCTTCATCTTTGAGTCTTTCCCTAAAGCAAAGATATTGAGTCTTGCGTGGAGATTCGCAGCTTTTCGCAATCTGGCCTCGGTTTCCCAAGTCCAGCTGTCGTGTGTGACAACTCTTGATTAAAACGTATAAATCTAGGATCGTGGGTATCACCTGTCAGGGTGTCAGCAGTTACAACCGTACTGTATACCTATCCCCACTAGATTTGTAAAAAGATTTGAAACCGTTGGTCAGTTTACGAAGTTATTCACGTTTAAATTCAAATAACACTGAAAATGGAATCCGATTCGGTAGAAACACATCTAGAAGAATGTTTATGTCTTTATTTTTTTTTTCTTTCTAATTAATTAAAAATCACAGGAAAAGACAACAAAGTTGAAACTTGCACAATTTGTACAGTACACTTATCCCAACTGGATTTGTTAAAAGATTTGAAATCGTTGGTCAGTTTTCGAAGTTATTCAAGTTTAAATTCAAATAACACTGAAAATGAAATCCGATTCGGTAGAAACACGTCTATGTCAATTTTTACCAAATTAAATTCATAAAAAATCACGGAAAAACGACACGAAGTTGAAACTTGCATAATTTTTACTGTATACCAATCTCAACTAATATTTGTAAAAAGAATTGAAACCGTTGGTCAGTTTACGAAGTTATTTACGTTTAAATTCAAATAACACTGATAATTGAATCTAATTCGGTAGAATCCCGTCTAGGAGAACGTCGTCCAATAAAATCGAGATAGTGAACGGAGATCGATCCAAGTTATATCATCTTGCAGGGGGAAAGCTGAGCTTTAAAATAGGGGGTCACATGGTGGTAGAGCATCTTTAGATCTGGAGATATTCGGGGTGGGAAAGACACCATAACATGGGGGAAATGCATTACGCGGGGGGGGGGGGGGGGCAGGGGCACGTCGCTGGCGTCACAGTAGTGATGGCTGATTTAATTACCAATATGTGGGTGGCACCGACTGCGGGCATGGAACAACTAAAGGTTTCCAGGTGGATTCAACAGCCGTGTCTTGTGTTATCTCACCCTTCTAACCTCTTTCCATTCTTACTTTGAATTTTTAATCCTCACCTGTTTTTGCAAAGTGTGGCCAGAAGAATGCTATATAATGGATATGTTTTATCATAAAATAGTATTGGCTGAATGACAGGTAAAAGTTATTTGAAGTAAATATTGAGGTTGGAATTCAGTCAATTTTAGGTATTTTTGTGACCCATTTTTCATTTTGTCTTCTTGGGATTAGGTTAGACATTCAAAATTTTAAATTTTTCAATATTTTACTTTCAGAACAAAGTCGACGAGATGACTTGGAGGCCCTGGGTCACATGTTCATGTACTTCTTGAGGGGAAGTCTTCCATGGCAGGGCCTGAAGGCTGACACACTCAAGGAACGCTATCAAAAGATTGGTGACACAAAGCGAGCAACTCCTGTGGATGTGTTGTGTGAAAATTTCCCAGGTTTGTGTACAATTTTGATTTTTGACTGTTATATCGTTCTTTGTGGCTGGCGCACTTTGTGTTTTCTTGGTCTCTGTTGAGAAAGGAGCGGGCTGTTTCATTTTGTTGAGAGATAGTCATGCAGTTCTGATTCTTCTAGAGGGAGGTCCGGATGTTTTGATTCCACTTTCTCAACCAAAATAATACACTCAACCAAAATAATACAGGAGCCCAAATTATAAGTTGTGTGTAATAGTTTTAAGTAAGGGGTTTTAGGTAATCAAGAGGTTCCCATGAGCACCAGTGGATATGTGCTTGCAACTTACTGACGGCAGTTTATTATTAAACTGCTTGTATCTGGTGGCTTTTACGGTGTCATGGTGACAAAATTCAAACATTTTAATGATTTGCTCTGTTCGATACTGACCATCTTATCTGCGCTGTTGGTTTAAACTGTTCACTTGTTTTTATTTCTGTTAACAGCATTTCTTTTTTTTTCTTCCCCCAACCCCCCCTTCCATCTGCTGTTGGCTTTGACCCATGTTACTTTTTTTTTTCCTCAGAGGGCTTTGCCACATACTTACGTTACGTTCGAAAGCTGGACTTTTTTGAAACTCCTGACTACGACTATCTTCGAAGACTTTTTACAGATCTCATGGAAAAAATGACATATGAATGTGACTGGCAGTTTGATTGGGTTGGCAGACAGATGGTGAGTGTTTCTGTTGTTTGTTAATAACTTTTTCTTTTGCTTCTTGTTTACTCAGATCAGATATGTTTATGTTATTTTTATTACAACGCTGTGTTTTGCTTGGGACACGGGAAGTGTTATCTTAAAGAGTATTCAAAAACAAAAAACTGGATTTATTACTCCAAACTTTGTTACTTGTACATCAGCTGTTTTAGTTTAAGGAACAGTTTCATAGAATTTGGTTTTTATGAAATTCTCTTTGCAGGGAGAGAGACAAAAATGACTGCTATGACCTGAAATAACCTTAGATCTAATATGTATATAAATTGCAGATAAATATGGATACAGTGAAATTGCAGGATTTCTGTGTTGTATCCAAATCACAATTTTAAAGATCAGTTGATTGACCAGTCCTAAAAGCACTAAAAAGTTAAAGCTCATCTGATTCTATTTTTTTTTCTCCTAGTTAGTCTGGTCGTTTTCTGACAAATAAGTTACCCTAAATGTTCTTTAACTTCCATACTGGTACCTGGAACAGTTCACTGATGGGCCATGAATCATTGTCTGTTATGGGCCTTTGCTTTTAGGCGTTGATTATTTTTCTCTTAGCTTCATATGATGGCTCACTGAAAGTGCTTAATTTATAGAAAGAAGCCTTGGAGTCTGAAGGTTGACAACTCTTGCTTTAGATTTCTTCACTTTTTCGAGAATAAGTAAGATTGAACTGATGTGATTTTTTTTTTTGGGAAACTATATTTTGGACTGGATGATAGCAATATTGTTTTAAAATTCTTCATCAGTCAACTCCAAGTGTTCCAGACCACAGTGTTTCTCCACCACGGGATGGGAATCAAGGTCGGGAGAGGCACCCTGCTGCAAAGGTAATTCTATTGATTTCACAGACTTTGAAGTATATTTGTGGTTAATCTCTACGGGTTTTTAGACTTCTGTTCCTGCAAAGTTCAGTTACTCAAATGCACAATGTCGCTACTTTGAGGTTTGGTTGTAGAGCCTTTTCCGTTTCTCTTTTACTAAGACAAAGTAAAAAAGTGAGTTGTGATCTAAGGCCCCCCCAAAAAAATCACTTATCTGTTCCTCTTGTGGTCTGAGAGTGGAATGTTCACTGATCTGTTGGAAGTGGTCGTTGACTAATATTTTAAGTACATTGTGCATTTTAGTAGCTGTTTTGTTGGTCTTTAATCAATTTCTTTTAAAAATTTCTCTTGGCTTGTGGTCATGATTAGGCTAACTGCAATCCTGTATTCTTAAATTGAGTGCCATCAATTTCAGCCCCGAGACTAATAATCAGCTGCACCACAGGTTAAATGTTTGATTTCGAGACTCTCTGTGATGCAAAACATAATAAATTGTAACACAAGTTTACTGGCTTGTACAACTCAATTCTTTTATAATTTGTAAGCTGTGCTAATGTTACAGTTAATAAGTAACAATTTATCGTTAACGATCAAACACGAAACTTAAAATTTGTGTCAGAAATGTATCATACTCTCTCATGTCTGTTGGTTTCCCTAGATTTAAAGAAAAAAGCATGTAAATGACGAAACTTTGCAATTTATTTCTCTGGCTGTGGTGCAGCTTTCAATGTATCTCAAAGGGCAGTTTTTACACAGTTTGCTGTAATTTAACACATTTTTCTTTCCATATACACTTTGCCAATGCTTTGTTTTTAAGTCTGTCCAATAACTCTTGTTCATTAATTAAAGTCCCCATGTAAAAGGTTCTGGATTGTAGTTTGTCTTTTTCCTTGGATTTTTATATTTACTCTCTTTTGTGACGTAAAAAGTACTAATATGCCTTGAAAGTAAGAAATATGGGATTCCTTTGTTCATTATTTGAATGCCAAGTGATTCTCAAAGTATTTTCCTTTGTGCAAGCAACACTGTCGCCAAAAGCTATGTAAAAGTTGGAGGTATCTTAAAGTTGCTTCAGCAAATCAAAAACTGAAGTGATATGTAGTGTAATGCAGTTTCAGAGATTGCATCAGAAAATGTTCATGCATGGGAAATTACTTTTCTTCTTAAGGGAAAGGAAATTTGACTATGAATGTTAAATGGTCTGTGTACTAGTGATGCATCTTTGGATACTTTCCTGTGCATGTAGCATGTTCTCAGATCTGTGAGGACTTTAACATGCAACAATTCACACAGGCACTTCCCTGTCCGATATCCCAGGGCTGTTTCAAAGTATTGAAGGGTTTGGGTCAGAGGTTGGGTTTTCATTTTGATCTGCAGTTTTTTTGTTTTTTCCCCCATGAAGCTTAATTCTTTCCGAAGCATTTTCCATCCCTGCTCCCCTTTGTCCCTTGATAAAGAGTTCCCCTTAAAAGTTATTGCTGAAAGAACGTCTTTGCTGGTTTGACACGTTCACGTTGCATATTTACCTTCCTGTTCCTGCACTTTCCTGAATGACATAGACCCCATAATACCCTTTTAAAATATAGTTTTCTTCTGTCCATTGGTGAAAATACACGCTTGTCTGTTCCCTTGCACTCTAGGTTTTTGTACAAGGAAAATGAAACTACCTTCATTTCAGAGGAGCAAATGATTATTCACTGTCTTTTTAAAGCATAAACCAGTGTTTTTATTTTTCAAAATACGAATACATTTTCCCTCATTTTACATTTATACCCAAGATTGTTTTATGATTGAAAGTTTGTCAGTAATTCCTATGTCAGAAATTTTCTTCTTATTTTGTATTTCCTTTACTTGGTGCAGACTCAGATGATTCATGCCAGCCTCCAAAATTGTTGTTCTTTTTTTTTTTTTACATGAAATGTTTTTCTTAAACAGACAAAAAGATTTTGATTTACCGTTTGTTTGATTGTTAAAATGTTTCTTTGTCAGGTTTTCACGACAAATAAGTTACTTTTGGCTTCCATTTTCTATTTTCTAATTTGATAATATTTTTTGGGAGGGAGATTTTTTTTGAAGATTTTTGTCTGCCTTTTGTTTCTTTATGATATTGTTTCAAGCTACAGGTTCAATCGTCAGTTCATGTAGATTTACAGTTATTGATTAGGGGGTTGCATCTTTTTTGTTTTACAGACAAAATTTCTTCTAGTTCAAGTGTTAAATTGTTGTTGTTCTTTAAATTAATGTTCACACGTTTTTATATTCTCCCTTTGTTTTGGAATCGAAACTGGACCTTTTTGGCTTCCTATTCTTTTTTTTTTTCCCCCTCCTCATGGTTACTGATAGGGATGGGATGGGTGGTGTCCTTATTGTTGGTATTCAGAATTCTATTTTCACAATGGGGTCTAAGCAGTGATCTCAAGACTTGGTAGAAAAATGGTTGAAACGACTACAAAAGTGAGAGTCTTCGTTGTACTCTTTGTGAAGATGAAATATGCTAAGTGCACACCGCGTCCAGTTTTAACCTAATGGTCCGGCTGCTACTAATGTCCTGGTGGCTTTTGGTCAAGACTCCGAGGCTGGATTGTTATGAAATGCTCAGGCCCTACTTGAGCTAGCTAACCATCCTGCTTTGCCTTTCAGGCAAGTTCAAATCAAAGGGGCCACCATGCATGGGGCGAACAGCCAAGACACTATTTGGGAGACAACGTGGCCTTGACTAGGCATGGGGGTTCAGTTCAGGTAGGCTTGAGTCTTCTCAACCTCGGTGCAAACAAAATTGCAGGGGTTGTTGATGATGTATTTGTTTTCTTGGCTTCCCGTGGCAGTCTGGAGCTTTTCTTATTCAGGATGAATCCTTCCCACAACATTTGTCTTCTTACTCACTTGTAACTGCCTTGGTAGCCACAGCATGCTGGTAGTGTTGTTATAGTGATGTTTTCTTATTTTTTTTTAAATATTTTTTTTTACTTATAACTTTTGTGTATGTTTTCATGGTCTGGAAGTGTCTTCCATAATGTTTCCTCTTTCATATTTCTTTAATTTTGTTGTGATAATAATTCCTATTTTGTTCTTTGATATTTCCTAATTGTTTTTTAATTTGTTTTTCCTTCACTTTGAAGCTTTAGTTGACTCCGTTCTTTTGGAAAGAGTTATTTAATGGATTGGTGTTTATAATGAATAATTCCTTGATGCTTGAAATGACTGCATGAAGTTTTAGGAATATCAAAATTTGTAATTTTGTGTACTCTTTAAAAGTGCAGAATCTATTCTTGATATGGAAAGTTATAATGAATTTTCTAGTACTTAAATATTGATCAAGTAGGAAATAGTTTGTTCCAATTTCTTATATATAGCATGTTTAGCTTATGCTTTCCTTTCTTCCTCTATGTGCATGTCTAGGTTCAGAGGAACACCCGTGGGAATGTAAGAGAGCCCGTTGAGTTCACAATACAATTTCTGCTTGTTTAGTATTGCTCATGACATGGTTGATTTTGTTATGACTCTTCCGTGCTTGTGTACCTTATATGCTTACAACATAGAAGTGATCGTTTCCCTTTCACTAAAAAGAGATTTTTCTCTCTCTCTCTCTCTCTCTCTCCTTTTCGTGTTTGATAAGCCATATCAAAGATGACGTTCAACTTTGGACTAAATATTGTGTTGACAAATAAGAAGTCGCGACTGGTTTCTTTTTGAAAGATCAACTTAAGTAAAACTGGTAAATACAAGTGCAAAAGAGAGAGTATGCATGATAACCCATCTGAATTTTGTTTCTTTTTTACTGTTTCCGTTTCTTTTTCGGTGGAAGTTTTTGATTCATTTTTTAAGCTTATTTTGCCTCTTTAAGTTGCATGAGTATAATTTGTTATAAATTAATTGAAGTTTTGATGCTTAAGAAAATATGTAAACAAGTAAACTTTGTGAAGCTTTAAAATACAATTAATATAGATCTAGCATTCAGTCTTTAAGAACATACACTGCACCGTGTTAACAAGGGTTGCTTTTTCTCAGGTTGAGATGTATAAGGAGCATTTGTAGTTTTTAATAAAAAATTTTAAGCGAATAATTTCAAATGAACCTGTCTTTCCATTGCCCACTAATTCTGACAATAACAAAATTTTATCATAAGTTATATTGATATTGTGTAGTGACCATTTCAGACGCATGCTAGAAATTTACGTCCACTGTACCTTTGTTTATCTGTGCACATTATTAAAATGGTAGTGAAAGAAGGGGAGAAACTGACAATCAGTATAAATTTCAGGTCTTAGCTTTTCAAACTGCTTTCTCTACAGTAAGTCAGTCAAGGCATGCTTTTCAAGATAATGCAAAGTTCTCTTATTTGTAATTGTTTGAAATGTGGAAATGAATGTTCGCAATAACAATTTCACAGGAGTGACAAATGTAATTTTTGCATTTTAAATGGCAATTTTAAGAAAGACTTTTTTTGTTCCCCTTTTTTTTTTTTACTTGCATGTTGCTATGAATTAACTGTGCACCTACCCCCTCCCACTCCCCCTTGCAAGACTTACTGCTACCCTTTGGTTTCTTTTGAGAGTTTGTTAACTTTCCGTTGCACACACAGTTCTTTACTTTAGACAAACTTGCATTGTCATTGTATAAACTTTTTTTTGTAAAATTCTCTTGCTGAAACAAGTATTCTGTGGCTTATTGTTCATATGCTCATAAGGTAGCTATAAACTGTAATCAGCCATTTACCATAATATGCATGGAGAATTGGTGGTACAGATTTCACCATCTGTTGAAAAATTAGATCCTTTAATGGTGTTGTTTAGTATGTACAATAACTGAAGTACAGCATGTGAAGCTGTTGTTAGTGGCTTAAAACTTCTAATAATTCTCTGATGCCAAGTTCTAGTGCGTACTTCTTGTTCTGTTTTTAATTTCTGGTGTATGTGATTAAAGTTAACTTCTCTATTGTAGTAGGATATATTTCTGCTGTCATGGTTGCATATTTTTATTTTGTTTTCTCTTTGCTTTTTTTTTCCAGGTGATCAGTTCTGTAAATGGTGAGCTTGCTCCGGAAGACCCAGGTGGACAGTCAAACACGCCTATCACAGCTCAGCCAGAAGTGGAGATCAATGATGAAACTAAGTCAGTATACTCTCTGAAGTTTCGAAATAGCTCTCTTTCTCCACCTCTCTGTCTCTCTCTCTCTTCCCCCCACTTCCTCTCTCTCTCTCTCTCTCTCTCTCTCTCTCCTCTCTCCTCTCTCACACAGACACACCAGTGGTGACTCGGATTTTTTCTTATGCTTGAAAAGGTAACAGGTTACTTGATATCCTTCCTTTTTTTAGATTGTGATGCTTGGGTGCTGTGATTTCTCATGGTTTAGTTTGTTTGCATACTTATGCCCCTTTTCCAAAAGTTATTACTTCACAGTCCTGAGAGAATTGGTTTGGAGACTTTCGTTGGCCCCCGTTTGACATGTTTTTTCCCCCTGGCCTTTGAAAACTGGTCTTGTTTCAGGTTTTGCTTTTTTGAACTGCATAAGATGTCAGACAAATTTTTGCAACAATTGTTTTTATAGGTCTACAGATATGAAGTCACTTCTACAGTATGACCACCCTGATGCGAAAAGTGCACACTGATACTGAAATTTCTTTTAGAACAAATTAGCAATATGTTTTTAAAAAATGAAGTGACATCGGTTAATTGTGATGGTTGTTTTGGAGGCATACTTTTTATTTTTAAGTGTGAAGGCTTTTGTGCTTGGAAAAATGTTTATGGGTTTGTCAGTGAAAAGTCAAATGGTTGGTAAAGTATGTACAGAGATTTTTTCAACTGAATAAAACAACATCAACTTTTTCTTTCTCTCGTGACATTTATTTTTTGGAACTTCAATCTAAGGGGAGACACTACTGAGACAAAAAAAATCGTTTATGTACAGCTGCGACAGTTTATAATTATTTCCTGGCAAAAAAGGTTGGTTAACTATGAAATGATATTCTGATGGACTTTTTCTGCCCTTCAATTCTCTGTGGTTCCGACATCAATCAGGTTACTCTCTAATCTTGGGCACAGTATCATTGGAAATTGCTGCGAGTATAAGTAATGGCATAGAATAGCTTATAACAAGAGGAGAGGTTCTAATAAGTAACATTTTGGCAGGTGCATAAGTGAAGGAAATCAAGCCAAGAAAAATCCTGTTCCATTTTTAAAAAATAATTGTTGTTCTACGGACAAATCTCTCTGTTACGAGCAGCACCTCAACCTTTACAAACAAGTAGACAAATCTCTCTGTTACGAGCAGCACCTCAACCCTTACAAACAAGTATGCAAAGTTCAGAAAATTGAAGATCCTATGCCTGTGCAGACGTATTTTAACCCCATTTCTTCTCATTTTGTGGGTTCAGGTTCTAGTTCTATGTGGTCAGGGTGTATTTTTCCATGTAGTAATGGGGAAGAAAAAAAAAAGATAAAATGTGCCACGACGCGGTGGAATCAGGCGCTCGTCAATTTTTGGGCATATGGAGTTATTGGTATCATCTGAAAGCTGATTTATTTGCCTTGCTTCTAAGGAAATATATCCTGAATAGGACTCACGATATTTGCGATTGAAGGAAGTGAGGGCACCTAGCTTCAGTGGTGAAATTAGCGAGAAAATGGACACCAAAGTTTGGTAACTCCTTGACAACAACAAAAATGACATACTTTTGGGGGTCTTTAACCCTTAAAACCCTATACGGCTGGTAACCGCTGACGCCATATTTTCCTATACCACTGGTAACCGCTGGTCGACTTTATCGTTTAATTCCCAGTGCTAGAAACAGGGGATGTAACTCCAGATGACTCTGTCGCGAGCAGAAAGTACCAATAATGTCATGAGAGCAGTTCTACACCGAAAGTTTGGAAATTTTGCGAGTTTTTAAGAAAAATTAGTCACTTTTCGCTGCTTGGCCCTCCAGGCCGCAAAATTTTTGAAATTTTTGATCCAAACCAGACCCCAATAATGATCTCCCAGTCGGATATATCGATAAATATGACCATTGAAGACGATTGCAATGTTCCGCATAACATCGATGATGATTTTGACGATAGTGGAATTGGCAGGAGATCACCACTAAAGCTACCAGAGGCTAGATCTACGGCTGGGTCTAATGATACTTTGACTGAAATCGGGGATCACACACAAGACTTAACTCATAGAGTTGGTCCTAAAAACCAGTGTTTTAACCTTTTCCCCTTTTGTTCAGACTGTGCATTCATATATAAATAACATTTTCAAACTTCAGTAAAATCTAACAATTAAAAACACAGTAAACAAAATAATGAACCAACCTAATTTTTTCTAGTATCTCAATTTTAATTCAGGATTCTAGGGAGGTATGAAAAAAAAATAATTCAGGGTTTTAAGGGTTAATCAATGTGTTTCAGTAAAATTCACATGGATATGTTTTTATTTGAACATAAAAGAGGATGAACCAAAAAAGATAAATTCCAAAAAAGTTCCCAGCTGACTTAATTACTGTTTCTCCGATTTCTGTATTTTGACGAGCGCCTGATTTCGCAGCGCTGCCTCACAAATGGATATTTTAGCATGAACTCTACCCCTCGAGTGTGAATTGAAAGTGGCGTCTCCCCTTAAGTTAGCCTATGGCACCATTTCCTGTGTTGTGTTGTATATAAGTTTGAATCTTTTTCTTCTAGTCTGATGTGAGTCATTTGGATAATATTTGAGATAAATTTTTTTATCCATGAGCTTGGGAAGCTGCGTAACTTTTGGTCCTCATTAAGAGTAATGTTAAGACTTGACACTATATTTCGTCAGTGCTGTTTGCTTATCACTTTTCTTTGTGTGTGTTGTAGCAATTATGTGGATTCAGTTCTTTGATTTCTGATCTGAATAAGCTGACAGTTTTTGCTTCTGGCAGCTCAAATGGCTTAATTGATAGGTTTGGTTTCTGGACGTCCACTTCTGTCTTCTTGCAGGTGCTGTTTCTTCCGCCGACGCAAGAAGAAGAAGGGGCGCCGCAGTTAAAACATGGTCTGTGTCGTGTGAAGTGCTTTTGTATCAGACTGAGGAATTTTTTGTAAAGCTATGTAGTATGCTTTAGTGAATGTGTATATTGATATATTGAGACATTTCTGAGAAAAGTCTGAAATGTTCTTTTGTTCTACAAAAAAAACAACCCAAAATCTAGAATGTTCTGTAAGAAAGTTTTGTGTTGCTGAGAGCTTATAGGTTAGTAGATATTTTTTATAGCACCCTTTGCATGTGTGTTTAGGTGGGAAGGGCCTGATCAGTTAAAATATTGTCCCATGATAAGGTGTCAATGCAGGCCAAAATGTATACTAACACTTTTACTGTCAGTTGTAGATCGCCTTAATGGGAGGAGCTACCCTCGAGGTCCATTTTCTTCTATATTTGTTGCCCAAGATCAAATCTAAGTACACGTATAAGTTACGCAGAGAAAAATCTTTTAAAACGTACTTCTATTTTTGCATAGCTACAACGGTTGCTATGGAAACTGCCGCCATCTTGAAAAGAAGAAATAAATGTCAAATCCTTAAGGCTTTCTTATTTACTGACCAAATTTGGTGAGAGTATACCTGAACCATTCCCTATCAATGTACCAGAGGAGAGTTTTGAATTAGTGTAAAAGAAAAAAAATAATGAGAATTTTCCAATGTATATAGAGCTTTTAAAAATTTTGTTTGCATGATCGTTTGCTGAGGGAAAAGTATTATTTTTTGTGTGTAAATATCTGTGTGGTACATTGAAGGATTGCAGCCTTGCCGTCTATTTTCCTGAAAGTTTCATGTCAAAAAGATAAAAACTAAGCAACTGCAAAAAATTCACCTCATTTTGACAGACCCTCATGTTTTCAGAGGCAATTGTTTCCTTGCTATTTTTAGACAGAAAACTGGTTGATCTTCAAGAATCAGCAAACATCTCAATTTGCATAGTTTGACCCAAAATTGGCCACACTGAGGGTCGCTCCTTCCGTTAAACTGTTAGTTAAAAGAACTTTGTTGTTATTTCAAATTTCTAACTTTTCTTATTCATTTGAGGGGGGGGGGGGTATTGAAAATGTTGTAGTCATCTCCTTGTTTTTGTCATGGTCAAGCTAGTGAACAAATACATCATGCATCTCTGTTTCACTGTAGAGTACTGTGAAGGAAATGGAACAATATTACAGAAATATTTTGTGTACTTCATCAATAAGATGAGAAATGTGCTCAATGTTTAAATTTGTTTTGTTCTTTTTTTTCCATGTAGTTCTTTTGCATTTCTTTTTAATTACCAAACACTTACTGATGCAGCAAACAGCACCTTGATCGCTTTTGATTCTGTAGAGGTTTTCTACTTTTAAAAAGAAATAAAGATCAAGATACCCATGTTTCCAAATCTTGGTGAAATTGGGGGGTACGACTTACTACTTTACCCAGCTTACTAATTTAGTATGACTTAAATATTGCTTTCTGTATCATTGCCTCTATTTGAGATATGGAAAGCACCAGTTGTGGTGTCTTCATTATTGCTCGTGGACGATGTTTGTAGGCAGTGGGGTTTCTTTTGTATAAAGGGAAGGAACAGAGGTTGTCCTTCAAGAATCCCTATTTGAAAAATAAAAGCAGAATGTCTTTATTAATGTCAGTTTCCTTATAGACTGCATAGACTGCTTTTTTTGGTAGGGACTGACCGACTTGGATGTACCTGAACAAAATTTCAACCATATATCAATGTACCGGCCTTCATGCACCAGCTTGTTTTGATACTTAGAAATGTTATCCTAAATGACTCAAGTCTACTCTGCCAGCCTTCCTCTTTGTTTATCGTCCCCTTTTTTCTCCCTCAACTTGTTATTCCATCTCTTGAACTGACCTATCAGTCCACTGTGGGATGTAGACTTTTGCCCATGTTTTCTATTCATCTTTGTTTCTGTTTGTTTTGTCCCTGCCTGTCTATCTCTCAGCACAGTGTCATCTCTCCAATTTCTTAAAGCATTACCTTGATTATTTTTTCCCCCCATTTTCTATTCTTTCTCATAATGCATTTCTTTTTACATGTTAATTTATGTTGTTTCAATATGACTGACCCGTTTCCAGCTTTGTCTTGTTATTTATCTCTCAAAGTTTGTAGTTTTTGGGAAGGCCCTTTTCTGGATATTGATAAAAGATATATTTTTTTCTTTTAATATAAGAACTAAAGTGTCCGTTCATGTAATCAGAGTTTATCAGTGTGTGCCATATTTGTACTTTGACAATTGGTTTGAAGTAGCAGTGCCTTTTTCGAAATTCTCTTCCCATTAGCACACGAAGACACAAATGTATTTATAAATCACTGGAGTTTCCTGGCAAATGATTGGCAGTGGGTCCATTGATGATAACCTCCCTTTCTCCTGATTTTTTTTTTTCTTTGGGCAGTTGCGACACAAATAGGTCATGTAATGATATATGTTTGAACGGAAAGAAAAAGCTAACCACAATGGTGCCTGCCTGTCAGCCACCAATTTTTGGGTGTAGAATTTGTACTCTTGCTGTACTTAAAGTAGTGCTAATACTAAACCCAGCTTTAGTTTCAATATTTTGCACATCTGGGCATTTATGTGGCGTCAGTGGCCTAGTGGTTAGGCTCTCGGACTCGCAACCGTAAGGTCATGGGTTCGAATCCCGTCAAGGGCCCGACGTTGTATCCTTGGGAAAGGCACTTTACACGAATTTTCCTCACTTCACCCAGGTGGGAGTGGGTACCCGGCTATAGACAGCGAAAGATCTTGTCAGTTTGTTAGTGTTTCAGCTGCTTGCACTGTATGCTTCCCGGGAAGCTGAGAATGTTTCGGAGTGTTCTATGGTCTGCTGGGGTAATAATATAGTGTAAAGCGCATAGAGCCTGCTGTTGAACGGGGATATGCGCTATACAAATGCTATCTATTATTATTATTATTATTATTTACATGTTTTTTATATTCATCTTTTTCTGTATATACTTTCCATCGTGAAGAAATCAATAAGAGTGGGATGGAGTTTTCAAGGGCCAAACTTTTCCCCCTCAAAATAGAAAACAGTCTTGGGTTTTTTGGTTTTTCTCTTTTGGTGAAATTTGTTAACAAGGTTTTGGTCTTGGGTAATCTTGATGAATAGAGATTCTCAGGTAGAAGTGTACATTTCAAAGACCCAAGTTTTAATTGATTTTGTTTCTCGTATACAGATGCTGTGGATGTTTTCGATGGAAGAATACGCGAGCACGGGGCAAGTCAAAGAGGCAGAAATGACGGAACGCTTCGGGCCAGAAGAGGGATGCCAAACCATTACACCCCCCCGAGTTGTCATGTGATAGCATTTCTGTTGATGTTTCTCCCATTCACCACCACCAACAACAACAACAACAACATTCATCGGACTACGGTGGCAGCACAAGGCCTCACCTGCCCATTTTGGCTCCTGCTGCTAGAGATCATGTTCTACAAGGACATATCAATCAAACTTTCTTGTGAGGTTTTAAAAAAAAAATTCCATTCGGTTTAGAAACTTTCAGGAATGTGAAAAATGTGCTTTCTCTCTCGGACTAAAAGTCTCATGACGGTGCAGTTGCCTTTTAGGATAATGTTGTTGACATCTGGAAAAGAAGAGGTCTACTTAGTCTGACTGAGAGAGAACTGTTTCCTCTTTTCTGTATTATTTCCAAGAATGGCAAACTGTATGCTTTCGTTATCTCGCAGGACTTTGGTGTATTCTGTCCTGCGGGTTTTTGTACTTACAGTTGCTACAGTGTGCAAAGAGAAGGTATGGATAACTTAACAAGAAAGCTATCTTAGGGCAAGTCATCTATCAGGGAAATAGTCCTTTGGTAATGTCTGCTCACATGGTGTTAACGTTATGAAGATTTTCTATGCTGAAAAGATTTCTCTTTGTTTGCATTCTCGTAACATTTCAAAGAAGCATGACTGTTTCATCCCTCTTTGCAAAATTCTTGCTGTCATACAGGTTTTTTTTTTCCTCTTTGTATTGCTTGAATTAAAATTATTGGTGTGTACTGCATTTAGAGCAATTTCTGACAAATAGCTGACAGCCTGTCCCCTAAATAATCAAGAAGGTCAATCTACCTTTAGTTAGGCTTCAATTATCCCTCCTGTTCTGGCCTAGTAAACAGATTGTTTACATTCTGCATGTTTTTGTACACATGGTTGCAATGATTATTTATCTTTCCTTGTTGTTTCCACATTGGCTTCTTCTACTCTCTGTAAATACGAAAACAAAGCACTAGGGTGTAGCTTAGGTAAATTACTTGTGTAATGTTTTGGTTTTTTTTTCCCCAGATTGTTTCGTTCATATTTTGTGCATTTTAGAGACCTGCTCTGGCTTCGCATTCTCTGTACTGACTTCGGGAAATGGGGCGATATCTACTTTTGTCAAGTGTCTTTGCATGAATGATGCTTCCTTTTTTCATGCAACATTGTGTGTTGGATGTTACACATGGGAATGTCAGATTTTAATTTTTAGAGTTGTTCATATGTACATGTTGTGACTTTGAAGTGTGTGCAAGCAAGTGAAAATGGTATTTGGCAATATGTAACAAACAGACAGTGGATTTAACTGTTGTTTTGTTGGTCTTTTGTCATCACAGGCTAATTAACATGAGAAAGCTTGAATTATTTGACCCCCTTCAGATGTGGATTTTTCTGTACAAATGGAGTAATGTTCATGTCCCTTTGCCTATTTGATAAATTGACTTGTACATACATGAATGGCATTGTCTTGAGCTATTATGTGATTTAGTTACTATGATATACAGGGTGCAATTCATCACCTCAGCGAGTATGGCTCTATCATCTTGGCGTAAATATTCTGCACAGATTCAAAGTATCTGGAACACGTTTTGTCGAGAGTGATGCTTAGTGGAGACAGCGATTCCATTGAAATGTGAATGGGACAGAATATTGATATTGTCTGTTTCAGCAGCTTTGACACGCACATTTGTTACCAGTGTATCTGAGAATGTTTATGCTTTGCCCTTCCTCCATCAAAGGCTTTATTTTTTTGTTCCCTCCCTCTTGAAATATTCCTGTTTCAAAAAAAGTATTAGTTTCTGCTCGAGAGTTGAATGTCTAGTGAAAATTATTTATACATTAAAAGTTCCTGTAATGTGAAGCCTTTGAAAGGATATGAGCAAAGTGTTGCGTTTCATTTAGAAACTGTAGTTGAACTTTGATCAGATATTTTGATTTTTGTTTACGTCTCATCTAAGATCATCCAGCAAATTGTGTACATAACACTGAAATGTTGATTGTGGTTGGCACAACATATGTGACTTTTATAGAGGAAAGTTTTAAGCACTTGTTCTGTTTTTTATGAAATGGTGATTGTGACTAGTAGATACGACACATGCAGTTTGCATTTTATTTCCATAGAACTTATTAACAATAACACCTTTTCTCCTTTTTAATATTTGTCATTACACAATATTTTTTTGATCCAATGACGAGACTTTTTACTCCCATTTCCTTACATTAAGAAAGAGAATTTCATCTAACCAATCACTAGATGTGCACAATTATTCCATTTTATTTCAAAGACACATCAAACTACTACTGTAGTTCTATGGAAAGAGGAGGGGGGATGGGGGGATGATTGAGATGTGTTTTCATATATTCTTGTTATTCCAGGTTCGTTTGCATGCATGTGTCATTCCTTATCGATGATTGTGCCCCATATGTGATGATTTGCACACTAGTTGATGAATGCTCCCCTAACTTCCACATGCATTATTTTGAACTTCTTGTTTCAAGCTCAAGACATTGGCTTTTCACTGTACCTGTAACCACTCATATGTGTCGCTCATGAAAGGGGTCATGTAGCATGTAGCCACATTTTTGTTTGTCTTTGTGTTTATTTTTGTTTATTTTTATTTGTTTTTTATTTGTTTTTTTTGTTTTTAGTTCTGACGATTTTTTCCCCCTCACCTTCAAGCATTTTTTGACCATCTTGATGATGCTGTTGTTTGTTTTTATTTGATGTTGCTATCAGAAGGAGGGGTTTGTTAATAACGTAAGTCTTGTGTCTCTGTAGCTTTCGTTTTCCCCTCCTCTACCCCCCCTCCTCTGCCTCGGGTACTACTGCTACCCTTCTTTTTTTGTCATATGGGGTGATTTGTAAGAGTGTATGCCAGTTGTATGAATTCACATGTCATTGAAAGGCAGTGACATCTGTAAATGACCAAATTAAAACAAAAACTGTTGCTTCTTTACATCTTTATAGTTGTTTATTTTTGTTTTTTTTTGTCTTGTTTTGAGGATATATTTTTTTTAAAATCATGATGAGTACTTGTTCTTGCTGTATGCCATTTTTTAAGCGTGTCCCTATGTGTTTGGTGTCTTTGTCTTTGACACCCTGTCTGTGAGTAGTTGACAAGTTAGTATTCTCGTGGGTTGGGTATGCTCCATCTATTTCATTTCCAATTATCTCAGCCTGCTTCCTGGCAAAATATGGCCGTTGTAAGTCATAATTTTTTTCTTCTTTTAAATCGTTTACATACACACACATACATGTGCACTGGCACACACATACATACCCCCACACACATGCATGCGTGCTCACACACATACACACACACACACCTCCCTGAGTGGCGTTGCACAGAGCCTGGGGGGAACTGCTGCTTTTTTTTTTCCCTCATCCTTACTATCGTCCTTTTTCCCCTGCTTCTTTTGCATGTTTGTCACTCTCTTGTGAACTGCTATTTCCGGGGTGTCTTGATAGTCGAAGTAGACTTTGTGCTGTTGAAGCTAGAGAGGTGAGCAGAGTAAGCCTGATTCCTCATTTGGACTTCTGTTGACATCCACCCCTTGGCGCTCATATGACTGTATGCAGTTGCGAGCGCCGTAAAACCTTACTAAAACTAAATACCTAGAGCAGCATTTCACTGTTCAGTCACCATATGCACAACACTGCCATGGTACTGGTAGGCATTTCTATGAGATTTAGGTAGGATGTCGAATTAGATATGACTGAAAAAGAGGTTTTACGTGAAAGAAGAGTCATTCTTCTTTCTTTGACACTTCTACCCTGCCTGCCAATGTCAGTGTTAACCTGAACTATGTGGGATATACAACAATCCAGAAGACGGACGCAGGTACTCGATAAAGAAAACCTTTTCTGCACGAGGAATTGAACCCATATCTTCTGCATGTGACCAAGACTAAGAGCTGAACATTATGCCCTAGATACTGGTGGTATAGTCATCTCTTTGACAAGTGTGTCAGGTGATGGTTAGTGAGTGCATGCGGATGGATTGATCCACACAGGAACTGCTTCAGCTGTCTTTATGTCTTCGTCCTGATTGGGTTGTTTTTGCTTTTGTTTTTTGGGGTTCAAGCTTGTACTCAAACAAGGTAGCACCAGTGATAAGACAACTGAACCAGTGGTGTAATTTAAAAGCGTATTTGAGTCAACAAAAATAGACAAATCAAATAAAGAGCAACACATTGACTTGAAGGGGATTCGTTGGTGTTGGAGAACGTGATTCAATATAACCAACGAAAGTCGGTAGCAGACGGTCTGAATGCTTTAAACATGACTGGTGACTCAAGAGTCTAGGGTTCGGCCTCTATTGTCTGTTCTAAAAACAAAAGGAAATGTATCGCTGACAAATGAAATACAGCTTGGCATGGATAACTCACGCCAGGGAGTGACAAATATGTTTGACACGTCCATAATTTGGGTTAACTCAAGCAGTACCAAAAAAAAGAGAGACTCGTGTACAATGTATACATGATTTATGATATCACTAAAGAATGTCAAGGACCAATGAAAGTAACGGTAGAATTACCATATCAGGGGTTGCGGTCTAGATCTATGTAGTATGTGCGCCTTTCGCACCCACCAACCTAGCAGAGACAACTGCCATACGAAGGTTGAATCTAAATCGTGTCTCTGGTGCTCGGAAGAGTATAATTTATAAGCGAAATGTCCTGTGCCTTCTTGCTTTATAGTATCTTCGGCAAGAACATAGTATATTCTTTGAGTTTTCTATTCCTTCCCAAAATGAAATTTTAGGTCGTTCTCACCCAAAGGAGTGTTTCATAACATTAGAAGTCATTCATGTGCTTGTGTTTATGTGTGTCCATGTTGTGATTTGTTTTAGACGCAAGTGAGTGCAGCATCAGACGCTTCAAACTAGAGAGACTTTTTAAGACGCGACATTGTCATGATGATTTATACGTGTAGCCCACGGAAACCATGAAACAGCACCAGCCGCAGTGCTGTATGAATGAAGGGAAAGAATGAGATCGTGTATTATAGACCAGCTTACTTTTATAAAACAATCCGACACTGACCGCATGAGAGGAGCAAACGATTGCACAAATTAAAAACCACCTAGTAATTTCCCCGCTCGGCAACGCTCAAGTGTTCGCCAACCCCTCTCGCTTCTCCCCTAGCCCGCGCAGAGTATGGTAAAGGCATAGAGTTACCCCCTTTTAAACTAGAGTCCGTACGAGGTTATGTGACACGGACACATTTGAGTTTGTTGGCGGCCATTTTTAATGTGGTTAAAAAGTTTGTTTACATGTGAGTGGGCGTGTCTCTGCTCTTAGTCTTACGTGTTTTATTTGATTCTAAGGGCGATAACATAAAGAACGCCGTCCCCAGTCCAGTCGGGTTACGTCACACAAACCGCTGAACCCGAGTTGGCGACGGCGAGACGGCACTGGGAGTTCGCGACCTCGGTGCTTTCTTGTCGTACCTCCATTTTTAATAACAGTGAAAACAGTTCATAACAAAATGTGAATTAAAGAAGAAGTCTCATTTTCACTGTTAAAAAATGGAAATACGACAAGAAAGCACTGCGGTGGTGAGTTGACAGCGAGACGCCCTTCCCAGTTTTTCGGCGTAATAAGAATGTAGTTTGGATTCCGATAAAGCCGACAACTCCGATCCGAGTTTAAAGCCGCCTGCAGTCGGCCAGCTCTATGTGGGGCAAGTTGGAAATCATAAGGGAATTTTTATACCTATCGGCGCTTACTGAGTCAGTCTCCGAAATCGGCGTTCTCTATGTTTTCGCCCTAACGTTATGTTTTGATTCAAAGCTATTCTCTTAAAGGTGCAAGCATGTGAAACCTCTTGTCCCTTTCTGGATTAACGTCTTACTGGTTCTGTCAGGCAGCTCAGTGATGTCTGTTTTCTTTTATTACATCATCTATTTTTAGTGCATAATATGTCTTATAGACACAAATAGTCACTCCGGGTTCCTTTTTTAAAACATAAAGAGCCATCAGTAAGGTTCTGGGCCATGTGAAGTTACGGTTGACTAGCAGCTAGATCTTTTTCACAATGGGCAGGAAATTTCTTTATCAAACTGAAACAATGTACTTTTTATTGTTTTGTTTTATTGAATGTTGTCCAAAAACACCTTAGTACAGGTTTTTGTTTCAGTTATCACTACACTGATTAGAAAAACAATTGACTAGGCTACAAAACAACATTTATGTTCACTTTTTTATCTTTAGTGAGTCCAGAGTTGTCACAGTTGTTTTATAATGTCCAAAATTAGATTTACTTAAAACAGCAAAAGAAGGAGCTTTAGTTTAAGTGCTGTATATGATCTACTTTAGTTCTTAAAATCAATATAAACCAAAGTTTAATACCGACACTATAATTTAGTATACTTTTTTAGAAAGTGAACATATGAATGAAAAATACAGTTTCCTGTTCAAATGTCACAAGGGAAAGTTTAACTCGATTTAAAAAATACTAGTACATGTATTCATCATTTGTTTGACTGAATTTGCTTTATCAAGAGCTTCATTGCATTCCTACTCCTAAAAGCTGAAAAACTCTGGATTTTTTCCTATGGCTCATCCTGATTTAATTTAATGCCAAACTCATATATCTGAGGGAGGCCGGGGGGGGGGGGGGGCGTGTTGGTGTTGGGATTCGGGAGGAGAGAGAGGATGGGGTGGTTAAGGGAGGTTCCCATGACACCCACATCTTTTCATACTTCTTTTTAAAAATTCTATAGGCCCTATACACTTTGATTCGGTCAATAAGAAATAAACCACCTCGTAGATAAAGTGCTGATGAAGAAATAAAGGTTGTTGTTTTTTTTCTTCTTTTTTTAAAGCCCATATCTCTATCTCTATCCATTTAATAATACATTTATTTGTAGATCTAGTTGTAGAAAGAACGCCGTATTATTGCAATTTAGTATTTTAGATATAGTTCGCCACGGCGCCCATGTAAAAAAAAATCAACAAGAACCAAGCCTCGCCTGTCGCGTATGAGAGAGAGAGAAAACATGCCTAGCCCATTGCTTTAGCATGAACTCCTTCACACAACTTGCCACAATACTATAGTGTACATCTATGGGTAAAGGTGACAATCCATATGTGCGGGACGGCAGCGGCACGGCAGCGGGACGATAAAAATCGCTCCAACAGAAAATCAATGTCTGAATTCATATGTGCGGGACGGCAGCGGTACGGAACGATAAAAATCGCACTCTGGAGCGATTCTGCCGCTGCCGCAGACAAAAATATGAATGTGGCGGAATAGGGTTGACTGTGAAGAATCTCTGTGTGATGCAGTTAATTCATTTGGCACGGATAACTTGCTGAAACCATTGTACCCCTATGTCGTCGTTCATCCACCCATTTTCTTGATATGCCCAAATGGTGCCTTCTGGGCTGTCCTGAATGGCAAAGGAATGGATGGACCTGTTCGTTATGCTAGTGACAAAAGATCAAGATGATAATTGCAACTTTACAATACTGGCGAAGTTACCCGTCGGCATTGGCGAATTTACCCGACAATTGGTAACCTTAGTAAAATGTATTTATTTAATTAAATTGATTGAAATAACAATTAAATACCTCTACATAGAGATAATAAATCAGTTAAATTAATGGAATCAATGCAAGAACATAGAAAATATGGATGATAATTAAGTCAATAAGAATGACAATATTAATAAGAATAATAAGATGATAAGTTAATAAGAATTAAATGCAAAGATGTGTAGGCTCTATGAAGAAGATTCATAGAAAGAGGCGCACATTTCGTCCCGCTGCCGTACATATGGATATAATGTGACTTGCGGTACCGCACATACCGTCCCGCTGCCGTGCCGCTGCCGCTGCCGCTGCCGTCCCGCACATATGGATTGTCACCTTAACGCAGCCAAGGAAAAAAAATGTATTGCCTGGAGCTCAGGCTAGGTTCTCAGTAATCTCAGGGCGGATTTCTAATAATATTCTATTTGTAGACGAGTTCTTGGGCCTGCGAATTCGAATCGTTTTGTACTTGCTCTATACGGAACACTTGCTTGATATCTCTAAAGTTCTACATCTGCCATTCACCAACAGGCTCGTAATAGGCCTACAGACGTTTGAGATGCCATGTTATCTCAACAGAAAAACCCAGTGAAGAGGCGCAGGATCTTATCTACATACACGATACGAATGAAGTACATGTACACGATTGTAAGGGAGAGAGGTCATGCTTATTCGGTGACTGCATGTGTTTTTATATTGAAAAATAACCTTATTAAACGAAGGGACTCGGGGGAATGGAACAGAAAGCATAGGCACAACAAACCCAAATCACAGGCACATAGAGATGGACGTCGAAAGAAAGACCTCTCTCTCTCTCTCTCTCTCTCTCTCTCTCTCTCTCTCTCTCTCTCTCTCTCTCTCTCTCTCTCTC